GGAGAGTCTTGTCTGCGTGCAGTTCCGTTCTTTTCAGTCATGCTGGATAGCTTTATGTAGATAGTTTTATGGGTGTCTCTCCCGCAACAGATCGGCCACCCTGACCCTGTGGGCAGATCCGGGCACAGCTCAGCCTCCTCGCTGCTTTGCCGGGGAAACGGAAATGGAGTAGCAGGAAAACTGAGCTGGGAGGAGGCCTGGAAAAGACCAGCTCCCAGGCCCTGCTGTTTCGTGGCTGGGGAAGGTGGTGTGAGAGGAGGCAGAAAGCCTCTCTTGGGAGGGTTGACTGAGCCAGGTTGTGTGCTGGGCACTGCCACCTAGAAGGTCGGCTCTGCCGCTGCCCGCTTCAGTAGGTCAAGGTGGCTCCACTTTACAGAGGAGGAAAGCCAGGCCTAGGGCCCCTGGCATCTGTGTCCTTTCGGACATACCCTCTAATCTGAGTCTCGGGGTCTCCTCCTACTGGCAAGGGATGGCTGCGGAATCTTATGGAGCGGAATCTACCTCCTCCGGGAGGTTATGACGTGGAAATAATTTCTGAATGACTTTGCGCTCTGCAAAATAAGATGCTGATGATTTATTTTCTTTCTTCCCTCATTGGCTCTTGTCTTCAACCCAGCCCCAAAGCAGGGCCCGTTTGCACTCAAGTGAGCACTTTGACTCTGGCGGGAAGACCGCTGGCATTCTGTGCTGGGGGATGCTAATGACCAAAATGGGGAAGGAATTCTTTTAGTCGCCAGTGTTTTTAGTTTCAGTCTCGGAGTCGTAGTGTTGCCGCTGAATTTTTCCCTTCAATTATGAAACATTTTAGCAGGGGGAAAGCCAAAGTTTTGTTTTGTTTGCCTGGCTTGGAGTTTTGGAAGGCTGGAAGCAGGCCCAGGAGGTGAGGGACACAGGGCAGAGCAGGGCACTGCAACCCTCATGATCTTTCACTGAACCCACACTTTTTGGGGGTCTAGTGGCAAATCAAACCCTAGAAGAACTGATGAATGCTGGGATTTGGTCCCAGCCCCCAAGGACCCCCAGAGAGTGGTCTGTGAACTGGTGGGGGGGAGCACCCAGGAAAAGAGAAACACTTCTAGCATTGTTTCCTTTTGAAAAGAAGAGAAAGAAAATTCCAAGATACTGTGGTGCCCCCACCCCCATCCCATCCCGAAAGCTGCTGAGCAACTATTTTTATGTTGTCTCTTTTTATCCCATGGGCTTCTGTAAATAGTTGAGAGATGGCAGTTGCAGAGATAAAAATGCTAATTCCAACCTGGAGAGGAGAGCTGGTCCCCTAAGAAATGGGTGGGGTGCTCAGGGAGGCGGCCTGGCCAGGAGGTCGGAAGTGAGTAGGCGGGAGGGCACTGTGGGTGGTGCCCTGTGGGTGGTGCCCGAGATGTCTCTGCCGGAGAAGTTTAAATGGGGAACCGTGGCTTGGGCTGGGGGCAGGGTGTGGAGGAAAGGACACCTCTTCTAGGTTTTTTGAGATACACCCCCTGGATGTTGCCCCTGTGGTCTCTGGAAGAAACATTTTTCTTTAGTTTGATGGGGGCAGGGGAGAGAGGGGACAGTTCTCCCAACTTCTGGGTCTGAGCCTGGGGTACAGAGTCCCAGTCCCTCCCTGCCCAGCTGGGGTTGCTTTGCGCTGAGGACCGAGGACTGGGGAAGGAGGGCGCTAGATTTAGCAACACCTCCAAACCGGCAGAGAAGAGGAGGGAGCAGGGCCGTGGGTGGGCAAGGCACGGATGCCTGTGGATTCCTAGCTGGCCCCTTCTCCCACATGCCAAGCTGCTGCGTGTTGGGCTGCAAGGCTTTTTCTTTTCAGTACAAATTGAAGTTCCGGTGGTTGCGCGGCCTTCCTGCAGTTCAGTGAGAGACTGAGAGGGACTCAGTGGGAGAAGAGGAAGGCAGGGAGCCCCTCTCCAGAGATGCCCCAGCCCCACCTGCAGACTTCTGCCACTGGGGCCATCAGCCCACACCTGGCTCTAGACACCTGCCTGTTTCATCGTTCCCCCCGGACTGCCATGTTGACTCTTATTGACCCCATTATGGCCTCAGATCTTCCAGACTGTCCTGAGAGGTCACATTGCCTCCCTGGGTTCCAGTCCCAGTGCCCTGATTGTGATGCCCCATAAGAGTGCCCGTGTGTTCTCATGACTCGAGCATGCAAGGATGTGAAATTAGATGCCCACTTTTAGGTTTTGCAACAAGTGCTTCATATGGACAGTAGTCAGTGGGGAAGAGGACGAGAGTCAAGTTAGCTTTTTGGGCATAAATTAGAGCCAGTTGAGGGGCTTGAACTTGACAACCCCTGAAGTGCTTTTTTGGCCAGGGCTTCTGTTTCTGGAGCATTCAGTGTGTGCAGGGGCCTGTGCTGAGTGAGGTTGGTATGGTGATCCACAAGGCCCCATGACTAAAATGGGATGTGCCCTGGGCACCATGACCCCCCTTTCTGGGAGCCTTTGATTTCACACCTGTTTCCTCCCAAAGCACTGTGTGATTGTGGGCAGTCTCACAGGCTCTCTGGGCCTCAGTTTCCCAACCTGTGAAACAAGCATGGTAATATTGCCTAACTCACGAGATTGTCGTGACATTGAATGAAGTGACACACACCGAGCGGCTGGCTCCTGGTGAGCACCAAAGGAGCAGGCTCCCTTACTGCCTCTGGCACTCACCTGGCTGCTGACCAGTGCAGAGATTTTTGTGTTAAGTGTTGGTCAGTTTCTTCCCTTCACCCTGTTCACTCGCCCACGTCCTCCCCATCCTTGATTTTTTTTTTCATTGAGATAAAAAAAACACAGACTTTGGACATACTGGTTTCTACTGAGTTGATTGTCAGTGAAAGTTGTCCAGATGGCCAGGAACTTGTAGCTGCAGCAGTTTGACTTCATTGGGAACTTTAAGGTGTAGGGAACTGGTCATCTGGCAGGAGCTTAGTGGAGAAACTTTTCTGTATACCTACTCTGTGTCATCTGTCAGTCAGGACCCTTGCTTGTAAGTGACAGAAAAACAAGTGTAAACTAACTTAAGCAAAAATGGGGGTTTATTGGCTCATGTAGTTAAACATTCTTTGTCTATATGGGCTTCAGGCATGGCTGGATCCAGGTTACAGACAGTATTTCCAACCTCAGTTCTTTCCCATCTGGTGCTTCTTTTCTCTCTCTGTCCCTAAATAAGACCACAAGCTGAGTACCATGCTTTTGGGGTGAAGCATCTTTGTTGACTGTACTCTAAGATAAGATACATAAAGATGATAAAAGGCATAAAGACAGTCACTTTATTCTAAGGTAGGAGTCTCCCTGACCCTGGTAACTCTGGAAGTACAACTTTATTGCTCCAAGTTTCACAGAAAAAGACATTCTTTCTTCTCAGATGCACATTTGACCAGGATTGAATTATATGGGAACCCCTGAAGCTGATGGTGTGGTCAGTTGCACAGAGTCAACTTTGACAGAGGATGGTTTCCCAGACATTCAGACTGCTGTTATCAGACTAAAGGGACATAGATTGGAGGGCAACTAGAGAAAGCTTCTGACCTTCCAAGCAGCCTTGGGATGAGTGAAATAAACAGCCACCTCTAGCTCATGCTTATTGAGTATCAACAGTGTTCTAGAAAGTTCTTGGTCATGAAGTTCAGCAGTAAACAAGAAAGACAAAGCCACCCCTCTCCCAAGTTGAATATGTCACCTGAGAACCGTCATTTACCACCTTTTTTGCTGTAGGGCTGTGATGGGACCGGTCTGTGCATTTGAAAATTCGGAGCTGCCTTGCCTGCCATCTGCAAAGGGACACCTTTGGCTTGTCAGTGCTGTGCCCCACTCTCTGCCTCCATGTTCTGTGGTGCTTTCCCTCATGTGGGTCAGTCTCTGTCCAATTTCTCCCTTTTTATGAGGACACCAGTCATGTTAGATAAGAACCCCTCTGAATTTTAACTTGGAGGCCTCTGTACAGGCCCTGTCCCTAAATAAGACCACAATCTGAGGTAGCAGGGATTAGGATTCCTACATATCTCTCTTTTAAGTGTACGGGGGTCATACAGTTCAGCCCATTCCAGGAGCTGAGTACCCATGGCTTTGTCCTGGGCAGCCCCTTCTGCCCTCCATCAGCTTCCTACAGAGCTCTTGTGCCTCGGCCCCTGCCACCTCCCCTGTGTACACACACACACACACACACACACACACACACACACACACACACACGCTCTAGACTCAGGGGCCTCCCACCTCTTTCCTGCCACAGGGCTTCTCAGAACTGTCTCCTTTACCTGGAACAGTTCCTGTCCCCTCAATACCTACTTACCCTGGAGGTCCCAGCCTAAATATAATTTCCCCCAGACAGGTCTTCCTTGGCCACCAGCTCTAAAGCAGGTTCCTCTGGTCACCTCATCTCAACTTGCTTTCTGCCCCCTCTGTGCTGAGAGTCACTGTGTGCAGACTTTTAAGGAGACATCACTTCTGTTCTATTTATTCTGCTCACTTGTTCATGCTGTTTTGTTCATGGTAGCTCCACAGTTGAAAGAACGAATGGGTGAGTGAGTTTCTGTGAGGACCTCCCTGGGCCTCAGTTTCCCCATTTAAGAGAGGATGCCAAGCTTGTTATCCCAGGGAGAACATTGTCCCGGCCTTGATGGGCAGATGCTGCAGCTATTTTAGGCCCCTCATTGGCCCCATGCTGCCCGGGGCTCGGTGACCTTGGGGCCTGAGTAGGGTGTGCGTCTCAGGTGGGGGCGGTCCCTGTGTGGTGGCTCCCGGGCGGCTCTGCATTTGGTGAGCAGACGCAGGTTGGAAACGGCCCCCAGGAAGTGGCAACACATTTCCTAGAGGCCGTGCCATTTGGCTTCCTGGCAGAGGAAGGAGCCTGCCCTTCATCCTGGCCCAAAGCCCAGCCCAGGTCCATCTGCTCCGGCAAAGTCTGGTTGCTCTGTTGCGCTGGCCTGTGAGACCAGAGGGGAGCTTGGAGTGATGGGGGAGTTTGGTGGGGGTTTAGGGTGGCTGAGGGGGGCCTAGGGAAGGGCCCAGGACAAGCAGGAGGCTCAGGGAAGAGAACTCTAGGCATTTGGTCAAACCCAAGTGGCTTTGCCAAAAGGTCCTCTGTCCTGCCTGCTGTCTTGCACTGGATTCAACGACCCTGGCCTGGTCATTCATGCTTGGTGCTCCGCAAGTGCTCCCTGGGATGTTACTTCCTGCTGTTTTGCAAACCGTTGTCTTTTTGTATTTTTTTTTCTCCTGGGGAGCATGTGGGTGACTTTCATCAGATCCTCACAGAGCCTGTGACCCTCAAACCGTTCCGAACTCTGGTAGCTTCTGTGGCAGGTCTTGCTTCAGGCAGGATGGCTGTGGCCTGGCTTGCCAGTGCTGGCCTCAGGCCAGGGGCCCCTTGGGGCACTGATGTCCATGTCCTGTGGGGCTCTGTTTCCTGAGACCTGGACACTTGCCCCCCCAGCACAGAGCCCCAACTTCTGTGTCAGTCGGGTCATTTCTCCTCTCTTTTCTCCCCCAGACCTCATGGACCAATGCCCGAGCCAGACGCCAGCTTGTGACGGAGACTGATAAAAAGGCAGCCTTGTTGGTGGGTAGGGAGGGGGCAGGAGCCTTGGTGTCCTTGGTCTGGAGGGGAGATCGATAAGCAATTGTTTTTCTCTTGGCAAGAAGAAAACATTCTCCATTAACATTCTCAAGTGCTGCCAGACTAGTTTTCTTTTCAGGAACTCTCCAAGCCCTGTCAGAATCTCTGGGAGGGGGATGGCCCGCTGCACCAGATCAGGCCCCCACCGCCAGGGCTATGGAGCAAGAGCAGGCCTGGCCGGCTGGAACCTAGCCTGGCAGGTAGCAGATAGTCAACAGGTATCTGTTGAAAGAATAGCTTTTTGGGCACCTAACCATGTCCAGACGTGCTGTCAAGTGCTTATTAGTCATTTCATCCTCGAGACTCTCGTGTTGTAGATGAGAAGAGGAGTCCTGACAGGTTAGCTCACCTGTCAGCGACAGGCAGGGTGCGGAAGAGTCCAGCTGCGGCACCTCAGGGGCCCTGTTCTTCCTCTTCTGGGAGATCAGGATTATAAAAAGGATGCGTCTGAAGTAGTAGCAGATGGGGCCACTGAGAACACTGAACTGGGATTATATTCTTTTTTTTTTTTTTAAGATTTATTTTATTTATTTATGCATATAAGAACTGGGGTACAGGCCAGAGGTGCGGGGGTGAGAGGATTCACCAGAGGCAGAGTGGGGAGCAGAACAGGCGGATCCACACTGCTGAGGGGAGCAGCAGGCGAACAGGAGAGGTCTGCCGTGCCTTGTGGGTCACCTCCCTGGCGGGGATCGAACTCATGCTACAGTGGCTGCGGATAGCTTCATAGTGCTAAGACTTAACCCCATGTGCCACCAGGGAGGCCCTGGGATTATAGTCTTTCATTGTTCGGGATGCCAAGACCAAATATGCTAAGGGTGGAATGGAGGAAGAGAATTTAGAACCAATTACTCCTCCTATCCCACCTCTGGCCCCATATTCTCCCATAGCACTCTGGCTACCTCTACCCTCACAGTTAGTTATTTTCTTTCACAAATTCCCTTACAAATAGTTACTATCTGTACATGATGCAAAAGTAAAAGCAAATAGAGTGAGGCCCTAAGCCCCTCCTGCCTTGGCCCTGCCCTGGCTAACTGGTTGTTTTCCCTTGAGACCATTGTTAGATTGTTTTAAGGACCTTTCCAGAAAGACATCATGTGTGCAATGGTGTGTACACCTGTGGCCTCTCTGCTTCTGCACCCACACACACAAGCACAGCTTTGGTTTTGCCCAATTAACGGTGTATTTTGGAGATTGTCTAGAGCCTCCTCCTGGGATCCATGTAACTCACTCTATTTACTCCTCCTCTGTGGCTGATCATTTCAAACCATGCTGCCACAACGGTCTCGTGCGTCATGATCTACATGTATGAGGCTATTGGGCAAATGAACAGGCACAGAATTGGTAAGTCAAAGCAGGTGTGTTTGGAGTTTTCTTAGGTATCGTTAACTTTCCCTTCATAAGGATAGTACTGATTTCTAGACTCCTCACAGCCTAAATAGTGCTGTTAGTACATTTTTTTTGGGGTTTTCTCCCTTCTGATGAAAGTTAGAAAAGGTGGTATTTCATTCTACTTTTACTACTACTATTTTCTTAATTTTAGTAAAATATACATAAAAATTCACCATTTAATTATTTTTAGGTGTACAATTCAATGGCTTTCACAGCATTTGTGCAGTGATCACCATGATCCATTTCTTGAACTTTTTCATCACCCCAAATAGAAACTGTATCCCTTAAGCAATGCTCCCCTGTCTCCCTCTCATTGGTAACCTCTGTTCTAGTTTCCTGTCTCTGAATTTGCCAGATAGCTATCTCAGATATGAAAATAATGTAGTATTTGCCTGTTAATATCTGGCTTACCACTTAGCATAATTTTTTCAGGGTGCACCTATGTTGTAGCAGGTGTCAGAATTTTGTTCCTTTTTAATGGCTGAATAATATTCCGCTATACAGAAAAACCACATTCTGTTTATGCACTGATGGACGTTTGGGTTATTTCCACTATTTAGATATTGAGCACAATGCTGTGCTCAATATGAACATGGGTATATCAATATCTGAATCTCTGCTTTCAATTCTTTGGGGTCTAAAACTAGGAAAGGAATTGTGGGGTCACCTGGTAATTCTACATTAATTTCTTGAGGAACCACCAAGCCATTTCCCTATAGTTTGGATTTTGTACTTCTCTTACTATAACCGAGGCTGAGCCTCTTATCACATGATTGGATGTGATTCTTTGTTCTTTATGGTGAACTTCATGTGCATCAGCTGTGTCCAGGTCCGGACTGGGATGCTGTGGCTATTTCCATGATGCCTTTCCTGTTGGTCTTTCCTGGTTCCACGAGAGCAGGGATCCAATGTATCTACGTCATTGTCTAGATTGCCCGACATAGAAGCTGTTCCATAAATACCCTTTGCAGAACTGTCCCAAGAGAGCGAGTGGCATTTCTCTGACCCTCAGCTAGTTCTTCCAGTGAGCCCTGGCTTTCTGCTCCCATCTGCATCTCCCTTCTTAACCCCGCCCCCCGCCACCCAGTGTCATCAAGAGATAGCATTTTATTCATTCATTAACTTGTCTACTCAGCACCGTTTCCCTGGTGCCTTCGTGATGTGGGTGATCAACGTGGAGCTACCAACCATCTGCGTCACAGATGTGCCCCCTGAATTCCAGTGGCACCTGTGACATTTGTTCAGCAGGATTTGTCAAACACATTAGGCAAAGGTTAATATTCTGTCTCAGAGACGGAAGGAATCGATTACAGCAGCATGTCAACCTTCTCCTTTTATTCACATAAAATTAGCATTAAAAATTAGACAGTTCAGCAGCACTGAGTACATTCATAATGCTTTGTAACCATTACCTCTCTCTAGTTCGAGAACATGTTCATCATCCCAGGAGGAGCCCCTACACCCACTCACAGTCACTGCCATTTCCCCAACACCTCCCCAGTCCTTGGAAACCACAAATCTACTTTCCATCTCTGAATTTGCCTATTCTAGAAGTTTCATGTGAGCAGACACACACGTGTCCTTTTTGATCTGGCATTCTTTACTTAGCATGGCAATATTGAGGTTCACTCGGCTTGCCGTGGGTGTGAGAGCTTTGTGCCTTTGACGAATCCTATTGTGTTGTGTGGACAGACCACGTTCTCCTTCTCTGTCCCCTGTGGAGGCATGTGGCGGTGGTGTTTACCCTTCCGACCATCACAGTGCGGTTTGGGGCAAGGCTAGGAGCAGAATTGGTAAGATGGTAATTGGCTAGGTAAGATGGTAATTCTGTGTTGTTCGAGACAACACCAAGCTGGTTGATATCAACCCCATGTTTGCTGTCCCCCCACTGACTGCTGTCAGGCTGAGGGTAGCCTAGGAGGAGGCTCTACACCAGAATGGGGCTGAGCTTGGGGAACATTGTCTGTGCCCAGCCTGGCTCCTTGGATCACACAGCTGCCTGGCTCCCGCGCCCTCCGCCCTGTCCTTCCAGTGATCTGTGACCCCCGTGTCTCAGCCAAGACTCCAGCCTGCTGGGACCTGGGCTCTGTGTGAGCACCGTTCCTTTCCCTTATTGAGCCTCAGTTTCCACCCTTATAAAACGAGGGCATAATAGCAGATCAACAACCTGGGGTGCCGGGGGAATATGTTGATGTGTGCAAGATGACTTGTAAACTGTAAGGTGCTCTTGGAGTCATTGCCCAGGGGAGGTGCCTGCCCAGACAGCAGTGACCAGGTGGAAGTGCTTGCTAGGCCTGCCCAACATTTAAAAATGAGATAATTGCTAATTTTGACAATATTGAGAGACCTCACCTGACATCTGGGGTTAGGGCTTTTCTTAGAGAAAAAATAGAGAAAATCAGGGAAAGTCCTGCTGAGAAACAACGGGCTCAAACTAGAAGTAGTTGCTGCCTCTCTAGGGGCTGCCCCTCTGGCACAACTGACCTTCCTTTCTGCAGGTGCCGGATGGGAGTGCCCAGGCCTGTCGCATGAGGTTGGCACATGCACCATGTCATCATGCGTCTCTAGCCAGGCCAGCAGTGACCGGGCCGCCCCCCAGGATGAGCTGGGCGGCAGCAACGACAGCAGCGAAAGCCCGAGGCCCTGTGAGGCCCTGCGGGGCCTCTCCTCCCTGAGCCTCCACCTGGGCATGGAGTCCTTCATCGTGGTCACCGAGTGTGAGCCGGGCTGTGCTGTAGACCGCAGCCTGGCCCGGGACCAGCCCCTGGAGGCTGATGGCCAAGCGGTCTCCCTCGACACTGCTGGGCCCCAGCCCCACCTCTCCAGCCGCAAGCTCTCTCTGCAGGAGCGGGCCCAGCTGGATGTGAATGGACGTATCCACCCGTCCCTGCCCTACTCGCCCATCAGCTCCCCACAGTCCTCCCCGAGGCTGCCCCGGCGGCCCACGGTGGAGTCCCACCACGTCTCCATCACTGGTATGCAGGTGCGTGAGCCGTGGACAGGTGGGGACAACCTTTAAAAGATGGATATAACAAGAGCACATGGTATGACTGTTTCTACAACATACAAAACCTGTGTGAGAAGTGAGGATTGTGGAGAGGGGCCAGCCTCTGGGGAGCTGGGCATCTTCTCTTTCTTTATTGGGGTCCTAGTTACATGTATATGTTTCGTCTGAAAAATTTTTCTAGCTGTGAACTTATAATGCATATTCTGTGTATTCTACTTACTTTCCAGGATTGCGTACAGCTGAATCAGTACACACTGAAGGACGAAATTGGAAAGGTAAATGTCCCAGGGGCCAGGCTGGTTGTCCACACTTAGCAAGGGTGTCTCGCGACTTTGGAGGGAACCTGCTACATCTGGGAGTGGGAGTGGGCCAGAGGAGTTCTTGGAAGCAAGGGGTGCGTGTGTGTGTTTGTGGCGGGGGGGGGTTGTCATTATCGGTCCATTTGTTTTACTTTGACATCATGCAAAAACTCAGCTTCCAGGGAAACCCCATGTCACCATGGTAATGGTGATATTTCCCATCACATTAGTGTTGGTTTTTTATCCCTTAAGATTCTCCAAAATTCATTTTTGCTTTTTGCTTTTGTTTTAATTAATGGTCGGTATCATTGCAAGCACCACTCAAATGCCAGTAGAGAACAAGTGAATACTATAAATGAGCAAAGCATGCAGGGTATAAGATATTAGGAAGTGATGTGGACTTTGGCAAACTCTTTTAATATATGCAAATGATTATAGCTCCATATGGCCAGATTTTCCAATTTATTCAAAAGAATCTGGGAATCTGGAATTTTATATCCAGTGTTTCTGTTTTTTTTTTTTTTTCTTTTTCCTGGTACTTGTCTTTTTTTCCTTATTATGAATAATTGCAAATATACAGAAAAGCAGAGAAACGTATAAAATCAACATCCACATACACATCACTTAGATAAAACAATTGTGAACATTTTGCCACATTTGCTTCATCTACTTTTTCTTTTTCTTTTTTTTTAAATTCAGGTAACGTGGTTTATAACATTAATGTTTCTGTTTTTAAATGTTGGCAACTAATGCAAACTTAGAGGCTGCAGGTCCAACAAAATGCAGCAACAATGCATATTTGGCCAGTGAAGTGCTGGCTTGCAACCTCTGTGTTCGGGTCCTCAGGTCACAGCTCATAACCTCTGCATCATAAACTCACAGGCATCTCCCTTTCTCCAGGGCTCCTATGGCGTCGTCAAGTTGGCCTACAATGAAAATGACAATACCTACTATGTGAGTAGCCATACCCCCTTCTCACCCCCCTTCCTCAAAGAAAAACTCTCCTTCCCAGCACCAGGCTTTCAGGAAGGTTTTCTTAGCTGGTGTTCCATTTTTTCTTGGATTATATTCATTTGTGCATTAGGAAGGAAGCAGTGTTTCCCGGAGGGGGAAATGAGAGGTGAAGTGATTGATTCAGAAAAATGATAAAATTAATAAATTTACTGAACGTCTCCTAACCTTATCCTGGACTGCCACTTCTGTGTCCTCCATGGCACTGAGAACCTGGCGGAAGTGAGACTAATTACCCTTGTAGCTGAGGCTTTGCAGTCAGTCCATTGTGGCTTTGAATACTGCCTTTCCCATATGTCAACTGTGTGACCTTGGGAAGTGACTTAATGCTCAACCTGTTTCTCCTGCTGTAAAGCAGTGGGCCCACCCCTCTCTTGCCCATCACCCCAGCTCTCTCCTGTCTTGATTCAGTGGCAGTGAGTCTCAGATTTATGGTCTCCCCGCTGGAAGAATTGTCCTGGAGTCTTGAAAGTACCTTCAGGGCTTGAGGGGCTCTGGAAGTCCAGTTTTCATGCACCCTGTAGATGCTTAAGCCACGTTGATAATGAGGACAACAAGTGCTGGGGAGGCCTAGAGGCGGAGGGAATGCCCCCTCACCCTTCTCCCTACCTTAACTGGGACTCCGGGTCTTTTTTCCCATAGGCGATGAAGGTGCTGTCCAAAAAGAAGCTGATCCGACAGGCGGGCTTCCCACGTGAGTTTGGTGGTCCAGGGCCTCTTTTTGGAGGTTCAGGGTCTGAGGTGATATAGAGCAGGGGCCACTGAATGGTGTCCCCTACAGAGAGTGCCTTGGGTGGACGTCCTGAAGACAGCACTAGCCCCTTCTGTTGAGGTTTCATTAAAAAAGTTCATAATAGTAATGTAGGTCTCAAATCAGAAGTCATTGGAGGGAAGCAATTTGGTAGTTCCTCAAAAAGTTAAATATAAAGTTACAAAAGGATCCAGCAATTCTACTTTTGGGTGTACCTAGGAGAAATAAATAAACATGTCTGTACCTAAGCTTATACGTGAATCCTTAACAGCACGGGTCATAATAGGCAAATAGTGGAAACAACCCAAATGTCCATTAACACAAGAATGGGTAAACAAAAGGGACAAAAAAAATTCATCCCTTCAGTGGAACAATAATAGCCAGTGGAATATTATTCAACCATAAACAGGAACGAAGTAGTGACTCATGTTACGACACGGATGACCTTGAAGTTATTCTGCTGAATTCAAGACAGCAGACCCAAAAGGTCATTGTATGGTTCTTTTCTTTTGTATGTAAAATTTTAAGATTTTACTTACATGAGGTGTCCAGAATAGAAAATCCACGAAAACAGAAAGCAGAGTAGCAGCTTCCAGGGGCTGGGAGTAAAGGGATGGCTGCTAGTAGGTATAGTTTTTGGGGGGGTCATGAAAATGTTATGGATTAGATAGTGGTGATGGCTGCACATCTTGAATGTACTTAAAACCATTCTACATTTTTAAATGGTGAATTAAAAATTTTTTAATACCATGGGATATTTGAATTGTAGCTATAAATAATTACAGAAGAACGGGAGGATTTACAATGGAGAACAACAGCTTCTTGCCCTGTGCCTCCCTCTTCCTTACAGCATCCCCACTTTTAGCTCTTTAAGAAGCTGGTAATTTCTGCGTGTGATCCAGTGATAGACCTGCGGGTGAGCGGGTCGGGGGCTCCAACAGAAGCCCCCACCAGCAGTGCTGGGCAAAATGTCAGCTTGGGCCCAAGAGAGAAAGTACATTAGAAAAAAAAGACCCACAATCCCCAACCTACCAGCAGGACCCTGCTTTATTCTGCTCACCTCAACTCTAAGTCATGTAATATTTTGTGCCATGGTGTTTCGATCTATAGGTTTTTTACTTCTGACTTCCTCCGAGGCTAGATAAAGATTTGACTTGCTTAAGCCATTTCTTACCTCCCTTTGCCTAACCTGGCAATGGAATGTTGCCGTGACAGCTGCATCCTCTGTCTAGTCCTCTCGTCCCTTTCCTCCTCATTGCAGCTCGGAGGGGTAGAGGAGGCTGTTAGCATCCTCCCTTTTTGCATCCCTCTTCTGACACCTGCACCTTTGCTTTCACTTTTCTTTTTTTAAGATTTATTTTTATTTATTTATGCATACAAGAACTGGAGTATAGGTCAGAGGTGTGGGGGATGAGAGGATTCACCAGAGACAGAGTGGGGAGCAGAACAGGCAGATCCACTGAAATACACTGCTGAGGGGAGCGGCGGGGAGACAGGAGGGGTCTGCTGCGCCATGTGGATCAGCTCCCTGGCCGCCTGGGGATAGAACTCGTCCTGCAGTGGCTCAATAGCTTAGTAGCGTGAGACTTAACCCCTGCGCACCAGGGAGGCCCTGCTTTCACTTTTCCAAGACTTGTCACACCTACACTCAGTCCTCACTCACATGTAGGATGTGGCGTGATACGTGTTTTGACTATGGACCTGCCCGTCGTCGGGACCTCCTGTGGGTCACTGTGCTGAACGGATCCCCTCTCCCTTAGGCGTCGTCTTCTCTCATTGGCTCTTACTTTTCCTTTCCCTGATTTCCTTTTTCTATCTCTGCTATTTCCACGAGGAAGGAGAGGAGGGTGGTGTGTGTGTGTCCATTGGATGCAGGGGCAAAACCAAGCCCTGGAGAGAGAAAGCGATGGACTCCCCCCGAGATGCTGAGATTGCTGAGCAAAAACTGAGACTCCCCTTGCCCCCATACCTCAGTGAATTTCTGATTCTCACCAGGGTCTGGGCTGTGAGACAGGAGCAGGGGTTGATAGGAAGGTAAGCACTGGGCTGGGACTCCGGCCTCACTGGTTTCCGACAACACAGGAGACTAAGAGATGGCTGCATAGAGCCCCGGTGGCATCCGCCTCTCTGCCCTGCTGAGACCCTCCCCTTTCGGCTGCCCCACCTTCAGCTGCTCCTTACTGCGGGGAAGGTCTTTGCCTTGACCTTGGGGTTATTCATGTCTCTTCCAGGCCTGACCTTGGGGTTATTCATGTCTCTTCCAGGCCGCCCCCCGCCCCGAGGTACCCGGCCAGCCCCGGGGGGCTGCATCCAGCCCAGGGGCCCCATTGAGCAGGTGTACCAGGAAATCGCCATCCTCAAGAAGCTAGACCACCCCAACGTGGTGAAGCTGGTGGAGGTGAGGTGGGGGCACAGGAGGGAGGGGAAACGGTGCTTTGCTCACCCCGAATGCTTCGCCTCTGATTTCCAGGGAAAGCCACGTCACACCAGACAGCGTCTTGCTGGCCTGAGTGGTGGTTTTCTCTCCAGGCTCCTTCACTCCTGTTACCTCATCTAATCCGCCCCTCTCTGGACTATTTATTACGCCCATTTGACAGGTGAAGAAATTGAGGCTCACAGGAATATTAAGATTTGCCCTTCACCCATTTCTGATCTCTGGGGCTGTTTTTCTTTTTACGACATGTTTAGCTGTAGCACAAGAGATGGCAGCTCAAGGCCTCCATCCCCCATCAACACTGAGTTTCACAGTCAACTCCCTGGTGCCTGAGGCAGCTGTCCTCGAGGAAGCCCGGACGCCCTGATTCACCAGTGGCTCTGGGTCCTGGGGGGCTGTCCCCGGCCCCCCTGCCCAGTAGCTTCTGGTTTCTCCACCCAAGACTCCTTGCCAACCTACCTGTTCTTTCCTTCACCAGACATTTCCTGCACACCTACTGTGTGCCTCAGCCCACATAGGCTCCATGAGGCAGCTGAGGTGGATACAGTCTGGTGTCTGCCCTTTGGAGAGAAGGCAAAAGATGAAATAGTGTGAAACCAGAGCAGAGAGGCCAGGAGAGAGAGAGAGTGTGTGCTCAGCAGTGTGAGGCCAAGCCAGGCGGGCAGGGCACTGCGATGCGTCTTGGGCCCTGTGAATTTTCACCCAGGACCTCTCCATTGTCTCCTAGGAGACTGTGGTTTCTTACCCACACTGAGACACTCCCCAGGAATTTGCCCCCTCCCTTTTGAATCCTCCTTCCTAGGTATTGTTTTGGACCCTTGAGGGTTGGACTGGAAGGTGCTGAGTTTCCAGATGGCCATTTGGACGTCACGCTCTGGGGTTTTTCCTGTGCTGTCATCTTAACTGGGACGTGCGGCAGAAAGCGCAGCCCTCCCGCTGGCCAAGGCGGTCACGTGGGTGCTGCTTCCTCCCAGCTCACGTCTTTCCTCTCTTTCTCTCCCTTGCTGTTCATCTCCGTGTCAACAGGTCCTGGATGACCCCAACGAGGACCATCTGTACATGGGTAAGAGAGCCCTGCCTTCTGCCACCTTCTCCCAGGCAGCTGCCCCCGCCAAAGCCAGAGGTCCTCTTGAGGCAGCTCCTGCCCCTGCCTCACCCACCAGTGCAGGGCCCCTTCCCCTGCCCAGCCAGTCCTCACAGTGAGCCTGGAAGAGAGCAGTATCCCATAAAGTAGGAGATGCATGGGGGGCATTCTTGCTCGGACTGTGCTTTTCTGGCTCTCTGGTCCCTTCATTTGCAAATATGTATGGAACATCTCCTGTGTAGGCAGGTGCCTTTGATATGCTATAAACTTTATCTCCTAGTCTAGCCCCCAGCTGTCCTTTTCTTTTCTTTTTTTTTTTTTGCTGAACTATCCAAAAGTACAGTAGCAGACATCTTACACTTTAACCCGCAAACACTTTAACACGCATCTCATTATACGGACATTCTCCTACCTGATCACAAACCATTATCACATCCCAAAAAGTCACAGCAGTTCTGTAGGCCGTCCAGGGTACAGCCCTTATTCAAACTTCAGAACTTTTCGAACCTCCCATCGGAAACAATTTACAAGTTACACAGAAAATATCAGACATGGTAACTTAAAAAAATTACGAGAATAAGAAACATTTACTCTAAAAATGTGAAGTTAAAGAATTGCAATGTTCTCAAAATGTGGCACCATCATCACCTTGAATATATGAGCTGATTTAAGGTGGTACTTGGACAAGCATTTAATTTTGTTTTTAGATTCAATTTACCATTAGATAGTAAAAATAATATAACAAGTATAGTAAACTCATATTATTACCGAGGATGAGGCTAAACATTAAAAAACTGAGTTGATTTTAAGAAAAACATGAAACAAATAATAGCCAGTGTGGTCTGCAGATATGCCAAATTATTAGCATCCGACAAATGGGTGAAATTTGGGGGAAACACAGTAGAAATCACAAAATAGAAAGATAGTATTTGACCAGGAATGGCACCCCCAGCATAATTTTCTCACTTTGGGCCCAGACCGGACTCCAGATAACTTTGGATTGTTTCTGGGAAGGTTGTTTGTTTAATCAACAAACATTACAATTTGTCAGGCCCTGTTGTATATTCTTCAGGGAACAAAATTCAAAACCCTCTGTCCTTGGGGCACTTTACGGCCCCAGGGAGGACTGACAGCCACACTCAGAGCCTAAGAATGGTGCAGAAGCTTCCATGGTGACAACACTAAGGGAGAAAAAAGCAAATCTGAGCAAAGGGGAGCCAGGAGTTCTGGGCTGGGGGGCTGGGAAGTGGAGTGGTGCCCAGAGATGTCTCCCCGAGGGGACATCTGTGCAGAACAGTGGCACTGGCTGGCAGAGGACAGTTTACACCATCCACGCCATTACAAGGCTTTGCTTTTCACACACCATTACAAGGCTTTGCTTTACACTCTGGGTCAGAGCGAGCACCATCAGATGATTTTTGAGTACAGGAGTCTAATGAGCATAAACACCTGACATGAGATGCAGAGAGGAGTTTCAGTCCTTGGAACCAGGCTGTGTCTGGTGCTTTTGAGAATCCTGAATGGTGATTTCTTACTTTCCAGCCACAACCATGTAGGTGAAGAGAGCAGGGAGCAGACAGGATCCTGCAGCCACAGGCCTGACCTCGCAGGGTAGAGAACAGATCAGTGTTTCATGAGGCTCAAAACCTCCCACCCACCACTCAGCCCCAAGAGTGGTGAAACTTAGCAACCGAAAATAGACCGTGTCAGCAGGCTAGCTTCCCCCGTCCCAACTGACTTACCATGCTGGGGTGGGTAGGAGGAAGGTGTAGAAATTCAAGAAGCAGCTCCTGAAAGTTAAGACTTTCCCAGAATGGGAAAGCCCGGGGCTGAGGGGACTGGCCCTGCCTGCAGAGGCCTTACCTTCAATGCCATTGGCTTCTAATCTGAGGTGACTGTAGATCATCCCTGCTTTGGTTTGCTTAACACTGGTGGATGAACCCGAAGACAGGGAGGGGGCCTTGTCTGAGTTAAATTCCTTGAGTTATATTCCTTTGCTGCTCACATCTTTAAGCCTTTCTGTCTGAAGAGCCACCTGGGAAAGTTTTGAAACAACTCTTTGATTTCTTCCATTCACTCACTCTTATGTGGGTGGATGATTCCAGAACAATAGACAACTCCAAAGTCATTCTCCACTGGATTGTGAAATCTGTTTTTTTTTTCACTTCCTAAAGTAGTTTCATATTTCCAGTTATGTTGTCCAGGCAGAACAAAAGGAAAACAACTATGCCATAGGACCTAGAAAGTCCATGTCTAGATATATACCCTAAAGAATTGAAAACAGATACCACATGAATTGTTCATGAATCCTGGAACAGGAATGCTCATAGCTATGCCACTCACGTCAGCCACAGATTGAAACAACCCAAATGTTCATCAGTGATGAATGGTTAAATAGCATGTGGTGTGTCCACATAGTGGAATATTAGATAGCTATAAAAAGGAAGGAAGCACCGATACCTGCTACAATGTGGATAAATCTTAACAAACTTTATACTAAGTGGAAGAAGCCAGTCACAAAAGGTGACAAACTTACTGTATGATCCCATATTATATGCATTATCCAGAAGAGGATGTATTTCTATGGAAACAGAAAGCCGATTAGTGGATGAAAAGGGGAAAAGGAATGGGGAGTGACCACTAATGGGCATAGGGTTTCTTTGTGCGGGTGTGAGGGGCAGAGGGGTAGTTCTAGAACTAAAGAGAGATGATGGCTGCATATCATTGTGAGTACAAAACATCACAGAATTACACACTTGTGTAAGTACTTACAAAAGTAGAAAGTTTCTTAGTGACTTACGTGATGGAAATTTCACCTCAATTTTTTAAAATTGAAAAAAAAAATCCCAACAACCAAAACTACATTCCCTGAACACATTTTATCTAATATTCAGTGGGTGGGGTATCCCCCCATATACAGAGGCCTGGGAATAAGCTGGTGTGGTGTGAGGCATTTGCATGTCGTATTAGACTGAGTCCAAAGGGGGCCTGTTGAGGCACGGGGTGAGTTAGCCTTGGGGTGATGAGGATCCCTGCCGGCTACTAGCTCCAAGCCAGGTTTGGATTTGGAGTCCTGGCAAGGGTCCAAGAGCCAGCTGACCATGGAGAGTTGAGGAGTGGGAGCAGAACCACATGGCCACTCTTGCCCTGGAGTCTGGCACGGCCTGGCAGCTCCAAGAATGAGGGAGGGTTGTTGAAACCAGTCCTTGCTCTTTCTGGGCACCTGATATCCCCAGAGCTGTTGCTTTGTGCCTTAGGAAGCCAGCTTTGGGGTTGTGTCCCCCTAGACACCTGCCGGCAGAAGGTGGCTCAGGACTGGGTATGGCCAGAGGCCATAGTTTAGTGTCAGTCACAGCTCTGCGACCGCATAAGTATGAGGGAGCGATGAAGGGGACCCACGAGCCACGTCTTTCCTGCCGGCTCCTTTCTCTAGCTCTGGTCAAATGTCCTTGGCTGTTGTGGGTACTAGAAATGAGGCCCGGCGGGGACACAGGGACGACAATCTGCCTCCTGCCTCCTGATGGGAACTTAGAGCAGCAGGACTGTGAGTGGTTTAGTAACTGTTCCTCTCCCCAGCCCGGAAATTAGTTCCTGGGCTCAGGATTTCTCAGGGCAGTTAGGAGGTTGGGAGGAAGATGGATGTTCCCAATGTAACAACTCACCCCCTTCTCTTTCCTGCAGTGTTTGAGCTGGTTAACCAAGGGTAAGTGTCTCTGCTCCCCTGGGTGTGGCTCCTGAAGCTTCTTGGGGAGCAGCACTGCCTGCAGGGTGGGGGCTGGGCTGGGCTGGTGGGAGACGGCTGAGCCCTGTGTGTCTGGGTTGCATTTCATGCGCGTGTCGCCCTTTCAGGCCTGTGATGGAGGTGCCCACCCTCAAGCCGCTCTCTGAAGACCAGGCCCGTTTCTACTTCCAGGATCTGATCAAAGGCATCGAGTACTGTGAGCAGGGCCTGCGGGAGCCCCCGGGTGGGGTGGTTCGCCATCCAGGTAGCAGGGGAGTAGAAAGTGGAAAGTTTCCTGCTTCCTTTCTGGAGCACAGAATTGCCTGGAGTCAGGGACAGGTGTCCTCCTGGGCCCTTCCCCTGGCCAGTAGACACCCTTTTTCCTGCCACTCAGAAAAGTAAAGGGCCATAGTGGCAGTGGCCAATTGTCCAGCACTTTCTATATGTACTGGACACCATTAGGGGCTCTACTTGCATTGTCCCTGTTTCTTCCAGTAACCTTGGGGTGCGGAGCCTGTTACCTGATTGGAACCTTAGGTTCCTCATCTATAAAATGGTAATAAGATATCTCTCACCAGGGCTAAAATCAGTACACATCAGTAGTTCTGATTGGCAGAAAGGTCGGTGTCATTTCTGCCTCTGCTGGTCAAACATTTTGACTTTTACCCTTGTTTATCACATAAGGTTGTGAGATTTAAATTGGGTAAATGGGAAGCACTTAACACAGGGCTGCGGCCCAGACAGGCCTCTAATAAGAGCAGCTGCTCGTATTACTGATAGCTCCAGCAGTAGCAGCAGCAGCAGCAGCAGCAGCAGCAGCAGCACTAAAACGTAGCTGGCCCTTCCAGACCATAGAACCACCTTCTGCCGTGGACTGACATCCAGGCAGGAACAGTGGCCAAGTCCCCAGTTCTACCTATGGTTCACACTTCATATCTCTCTGCTGTGGTCATTGTTGGTGAACAGGTTGGGTATTGGCATTGGGGAATGAAAACGAGTTTGTCACAAGTCTCGAGGTTCTAGCTGGGAGCCAAGTTGACAACATTCTCCATGTACTGCCTCGGCTTGGACTCCAGGAGGCGGTTGCTAATTACGGTGTTTCATTCCTCGTTTTTGAGAACAGGGGAACTTCCTTAAAGATATTCTTCCCCCCTATCTTTTGGAGAGTGTGCGCGTGTAGCTGGTGGGTAGGGGAAGGCTGGGGAGGGCCTGAGGCCGTGGGAGAGTCTGCATCCCTGGGCAGTCGGCCTGTTGGAGATGGTCATGTGCCTTTCCTGCCCCCTCTCTCCCATCTGGTGTCTGCCCGCCCCCAGTGCACTACCAGAAGATTATCCACCGGGACATCAAACCTTCCAACCTGCTGGTTGGAGAAGATGGGCACATCAAGATCGCTGACTTTGGTGTGAGCAATGAGTTCAAGGGCAGTGACGCGCTCCTGTCTAACACGGTGGGCACACCTGCCTTCATGGCCCCTGAGTCGCTCTCAGAGACCCGGAAGATCTTCTCCGGGAAGGTAGGTTTAGCCCCGCTTGAGAGGCTGAGTTCTGCCTGTGTCAGGGTCTTTTGGGTTGTAAACAGCAAAAATCCAACTCAAACTGGTGAATCCATTGAAAAGCGTAGATGCAAGGTAGGGTGCATTAGGCTTCAGGCTTGGTGAGATACAAAGGATTTAAACAGACCTCTTCCCCACTCCTTGAATTGATTCTCTCCCTGGTGGGTTGGTGACCATCACTTCTGGGCTACTTTCTATCAGTTTACCAGCCTTAGTAGAAAAAACATTCATCTTTCTAAAGAATTCTAGCAAAAATCCTGTGATTGGCTGATTGGCATAGCATGGGTGATGTGCCCACCCTGGAACCAATCACTAAGCCTGGGGGAAGGTAGTTCTGTCATTGGTCAGGCCTGGGTCATGTGCCCATCTTTGAACCAGTCACTATGGCTTGGGGGAATGATGCTTTCACTGGCAGGCAAAGTCTATGCCCACTCAGAGGCCAGGAGGCAGTATCTGCCTTACCCTCTATACCAGGGACTGAGAAGCAAGAAGGTTCCCTAAAGGAAAGCTGGAGATTTGGATGCTAGACAGGCAAAAGCAGTAGATGTCTTCACTGTCCTGTCCCTGTCCCCTCATGCAAAGCTCTCTTTTTCTTGCAGGCGTTGGATGTTTGGGCCATGGGTGTGACACTGTACTGCTTTGTATTTGGCCAGGTAACAGGGTGGGGTGTCTTGTCTCCTGAGTGTTGCTGTGCAGCCCCTTTGGATTAATCGTCACCCCTACAGGGAACAGAACTGATTCATTTAAACATTTTGCCCTTAAATTTCCATGGCTAGATATGAATATAAAATTTTTTCAAACGTACATATCTGTATATGATTATTACATTTGTGAAAAAATGATCTATTAAGGCAAAAGAATGGATGGAGGCTCTAAAGTTTGTAAATAGTTGATGAATTTTGGGCAAGGACAGTAAACGTACCATCTCTGCCCATGTCTAATCCTGAGACAGACATCACTAATCAATAACCACACACTTTCTTCCTGAGCCAACATTGCTTTGCTGTTCCCCTTAGCAGAGTGTCTAGAATTTGTTGGAGGGATAGCATTGGAATGGGAGTTAAACTCCATTAGGCATCATTGATTTAGGGAGTGCTGTTTGGCTTTTTTGTTGATATTCAGGGGCTTTTGTTTTTAACTCTGAAGTTCTGTGGACAATAAAAACATGATTTTTTTGCTTTCATGAACTTGTGCTCCAGTTGAAGAAAGCTTAAGTAACTGGACCCAGAAAAAGTAAAGGAGTTTATAATCTCATGCCAGTGTTTATTAGAAAATAAACTCCAATGCAGGAGTTCATAAGCAATAAACAAATCAACAGGTAATGTGACTCAGGGATAAGCTCTATGATGCGAAATCGTGGGGAGTGTGTTTTAGACAGGAGCTCAGGGAAAACCTCCCTGAGAAGGTGAGCTTTGACCAAGACACCTGAAAGATGGGCAGGAACAAGCCATGGGGGGAGGAACATTTCAAGCTGAAGGAACAGTCAACAAAATGCTGGTCCTGAGAAACCTCAGTGCAGGATGTGGCCCCAGGCCAAGCCTCACCGGCACTGCTATTTGCATCTACAGTGTTTGTGTTGTTCTTGGTATTGTTATAGTTCACCTGGCAGGTGGGTGAGGAGGAGTATTTGCTTTTGCCTCGGTCAGGAAACCAAAGAAAGTACAGCTACAGAGGAAAGCTGCAGAATGGCTAGGAAAGTCTGTGGCCCCTCTTGCGGGATATTCCTGGTCCTTCTAGAACTTGGTGCCAGTGAGGGGCCGGGGGCAGTGGGGGGTGGTAGGGCACCACTCCTTCTCTGGAGCACTGGGCCACTGGGCTGCTGTCTCTGCTGTAAGCCTTGTGGAGTCCCGCCCACGCAGGTAGCCCTTGTAGGACAGATGTGGCTGCCACTGACAACTGACCGGCCTTGGCCTCTCTTCACAGTGCCCATTCATGGACGAGCGGATCATGTGTCTACACAGTAAGATCAAGAGTCAGGCCCTGGAATTTCCAGACCAGTGAGTATCGCTGCTCCGTCCCCAGTTGCCACTTTCTCAGAGCCCTCAGGGTCCCTCACATTTGTCTGTTGCCTCCAGGCCTGACATCGCTGAAGACTTGAAGGACTTGATCACCCGCATGTTGGATAAGAACCCCGAGTCACGGATCCTGGTGCCAGAGATCAAGGTACCTGTGGCCGGAGCTGCCCCCTGGGGCGTGTGCCCGGGCTCAGCCTGTGTCCTCTGCTTGGAATTGTTTGGCGGAATTGTTTGGCTCACCCTGCCTTGGCCCACGCCCCTCCGTCCACAGGGCTGCTCCCTCCTTGGCACCACTGCCCTCCCATGCCCTGGGGCCTCTGGGCTGCAGGGGACTGGCAGGGCTGGCGAGGAGGACTTGGGGGCTGTGTCCATTGTGATGTGGAAGAGCAGTCTGCTGCAGCTGGACAGCTGGCACTCGCTCCTGTTGGCTTGGCTCCGGATGGCTTCCACCCTCCTTGGACCCACCCCCACCAGGAACTGCCCTGTGCCCTGCTGTCAGTGTCCTTCCTTGAGCCTGCCCGGCCCTTTAAGAAACTGCAGTGAGACTGGGAGCAATTTGACTTCCCCCTCCCTGCCCCACCAGCCTGTTGAAACCCACCCTGTGGGAGGAGAAAGCACTGCTAGGACTGACCCCACTGTCTCCCCTATACCTCGGCCAATGCCATGTGCACACATCTGGCTTTTTAAGAAATCTACAGACTTGCTTCTAGAACCCCTGGGTACCAAGCAAACTAGCTTTTAAAGAGGGGGACGTGCAAAAGGCCACAAGGGCTCGGACCCCTGGCGTGGTCGTGGGGTTAGACCCCTCCTGGGCCATCTCCTGATTGTGTCCTTCCAGCTGGTCTCACTGTTCCTCCTCAGCCTCTGTTTCCCTGCTGGTGAAGCAGGGAGGCTGCTGCTCTGAGCTGTGTCTTCCAGCTCCACCAAGAGCTGCTGAGGAGTGACGGGTACTCCTCGGCCGCCACACAAGGCACAGGCCAAATTCCATCACTCCTGCCAAGACCTGGGGCCAGATGGAGAACCTGGCCCAGCACACACCCAGCTCGTAGCTGCCTCCCATTCTGTCTCTCCGTCTTTTCCACGCTTTCTCCCATCTCGCTCACCCCCATCCCTGCCTGACTGGCCAGCTCTCTCGCACGCCTGACCTCAGCCACTGCCTCCCCCACCCGCCTCCCGACCTGGCTCCGCTGGCTGACAGGGCCTCCCGGAGCAGCGGCGCCCGCCCTCACCCCTCCTGTCATTCGTTGAAGCTGCACCCCTGGGTCACCAGGCACGGGGCGGAGCCACTGCCATCGGAGGACGAGAACTGCACCCTGGTCGAGGTGACCGAAGAGGAGGTCGAGAATTCGGTCAAACACATTCCCAGCCTGGCGACCGTGGTAAGGCGGGACGAACCACTGACCGAGAGCAGGGACAGAGAGCCCAGGCAGGCCTGGCATCTGGGAAGCCGACGGTGGGCCTGGGCCAGGGGGTGGCGGGTCTGCCCCCAGCCGCAGCCACCAGCCTCGGGCCTTGGTCACCATCAGGCCGATGCCCCTCACCTTCTGAGCTTCAGTTCCGTCTCTAGCCAGATCCCAGGTTACTTCAGAGAGAAGGGAGGGCTCCCTTCAGAGTCCTACTGCCTTTCTGGAATCCCTGCTTTCAGAGCATGGCGGGGCAGGAGGAAGAGCGTGGCAGGGCAGGTGCCAGGGTAGGACCCGGAGCCGCCAGCTCTCGCAGGACATCACCACCCAGCTCCAGAGGGGTGGCTTAGCCGCATGCCTGCCGTGTGCATGGCAACCAGGGCTGGGGCAGGGGCTCCTACTTCACACTCCTCAGAAAGCTCTTCCTGACTCCCAGGGGTGGCATTTTTGCCTAGGAGCCTTTGGTTCCTCTTTTATGGCCTTATATTTGGGTCCTGACCAGGATGAAGGAGCCAAAAGGTGGAGTCCTCAGGTGTAGTCTCAGCGGTTCTGGGAATCACCCACTTGCCCAGCCCTTGCCCAGAGGGCTTCCGGCTCCAGGAGGCAGACTTAGGGATCTGGGGCCCAGGCAGCAGTCCCAGGGGCAGAATCCAGCAGGCTGCCCCCACCCCTGCCCATGGCCGCCTAGAATGCCCCAGATGTGTTCGGCCCAGCCCAGCCCAGCCCCAGTCAGGGCCCTGGGCACTGAGAAGAGACCCAGAGGACTGTCTGCAAAGACAGTGTCCTGCGTTGAGTGCGGGTCCCTTTGGGAGCCCAAATGCTGGCTCTTTCTCTTCCAGCTTCGCACCTCTCCCTCCTGCTTCTCCACACACTTCCTCTCTCCTCGCCCCAAATCTGAGGTAGTGCTTCCATTCACATCCTCTTCTTCCTCGCCACCTGGGGCTTCTGCATGACCTTCACTGTTGAAAGCTCACCCACACCCACTCTCTCTTTCCCATTCACCCGCCACACCCATAGTTGGGGGCAGCTGGTGTCAGACCCCGCGGCGCCCACCTTGGGTTATTCTGTTCCAGGCTCGGATGTGCTGGCCCTGAATCAGCCCCCTCGCCACCTCCCCAGCTCTCAGCGTGAGGTTCTTGGGAGAAGGTGCCTGATCCTAGAGTTTTGAGAAAGCCGTTGATCATTCAGGAAATGCTTCTTGAACACTGAATGGTTTCTCAGGCCTGTGCTGGGGGCCGGGGGAGGGCCGGGTATGGTGATGAAGAATCCTGCCTTCCTGGAGAGGCAGGCGCTGGGCAGACAACCGGCAACAGATGTAAGACGTAACAGAGGCACTGCGAGGTGTACCCCTACAGAGGGGTTTGCCCTGGGTGGTGGGTTGGGGGAGCCTTCTGTAAAGAATGATGTGCCCTGAGAGGATGCAGGGTGTTGACCAGCTGAAGGAGGAGCAGGTCGGTGAAGGGTGCTCCCAGCAGAGGCAACAGAAAACATCTTCCATTGGAGAGAGCTGGGCCCGTGAGAAACTTCGAGAAAGCCAGCACTGCTGAGACAGGGCTAGGAAGGTGGAGGGTGGGTGCTGTGAGGCTGGGAGTAGGTGAGGCTGGACTATACAAGGCCTGAGGCCACAGGAGGATAGGATGTGGCTGCAGTACAATCAGAGTTGGCCTTGAAAAGATGCCGTGTGGAGAATGGACTTTGGGGCTAGGGAGGAAGTGGGGGCTGCTGCAGCCGTCCAGGAGCCGGGTGGCCAGAGAGGGAAACAGACATGAACAAATATCAGCCCTTGTGGGGCTTCCGACCTCATAAGAAAGATAGAGCTGGGGAGAGGCCGCTCCAGTGTGGCCACACGGCAGCAGGCAGTGGAGGGCAGGCAGAGCAGAGGCTTTGAGGAGCTGTGTGCTGAGGACCTGGAAAGTTCGGCTGGTTTCACACGAGAAGGGGCAGGACAGGGAGTGCTCTGCGTGGGGGGTGACCCCTGCAAAGCCAGCGAGAAGGGCCTGGTGTGTTCTGGGAAGCAGAGTGCATAGGGCTGCAGTGAGTGATTTGCCAAGGCCCACACCTCCGCTCTCCAGGGCAGCATTTCTCTGATCAATTAAGGAAGAATTCACATAACAAACAATTAACCATTTTAATGTGAATAATCTAGTGGCTTTTAGTACATTCACAGCATTGTGCACCCACACCCCTCTGTAGTCCTGACACATTTCCATCACCCCAAAAGAAACCCCGAAGTAGTTCCTTTGTCCTCCTGACACCCATCCCTGGCAGTCTGCTTCCTGTCCCTCTAGATTTGCTCAGCTGGTACTGGACGCAGCATGTCAGCTTTCGTGTTGGTTCCTTTCACTTACTCAGGTGCCTGAGCTCCCTCCCCGTCGGCCATTCCCTCTCATTGGGCTGACTCTTGCTGGTGTGTGGACTGAGCACTTCCCCATCGTCAGTTGATGGGCATTGGGTGGTTCCACCTTTCCATCAGTCGTCAATGGGTCGTTTTTAAACACTCTGTTTCTCAGCAGCAAACTCTCACTAAGAATTCAGACTCACAGTCAGTGCTGGAAACAGCTTGAGGAAGCACCTCACTGTGCTTGGAGTGGGTAGGAGCCAGCCTCATGGGGTGCTGGGTTGTTTCCTTGAAAATTCTTTCAGGGATACCTAGCACCAGAGGTGACGGGTTCACTCCCTTTATCCAGAACCTTCCATGGCTCCCTGGCCAGCAATGGGATAAATTCCCTACTCCTCTGAGTAAAGGATTCTAAGTCTGGGAGTGAGGGGATCTGATCTGGGTTTCAGAAAGGATAGTGTTTCTCAACCAAGTTGCACCCCAGCCTATGTTGGAGTGGATGAGGTGGGGGACACCAAAGAGTTCCACTGCAGGCCATGGACAGGGCCAGCCCCCTGTGTCCCTCAGACTTTGAAGCACCTGTGGGACCACTGGACTCTCTTGTCCTTGCACCAACTGGCCTGTGGATCAGCCACCCTCAGCTCCTTATTTCCACGGCTACTTGGACTTGGAAGGTGTTTCCCATTCTTGAATAAAATGCAGCCCCCAGGAGAAACCAGTAGCCTTGTTTGCTGCTTGTGGGGACATAAAGTGGCTCAGCCGCTGTGGAAAACAGTCTGGCTGTTCCTCTGAATGTTAAACACAGAATTACCATATGATCCAGAAATTCTACCTCTGGATACACCCAGGAGAAAGGGAAACATTTGGTGTAGAAGACATATGTCCATACAAAACCTGCACAGATGTATTCACAGCAGCATCATTCACAATAGCCCTAAAGTGTAAACAACCCAAAAGTCTTCCTGTGGGTGAACTGATAAACAAAACGTCTATATCCATGACAAAGGAATATTAGTAGGCTGTGAAGAGAAAAGAAACTGACTTAAGCTATACTGTAAATGAGCCTTAAAACATGCTGACAAGAAGCCAGTGAAAGAAGAGAAAGTGAAAGAAGCCAGCTATCAAGGCCACATACTGAAGAGTTCATTTAAATGAAGTATCTAGAACAGGCAAATCCAGAGACAGAAAACCAGGGTTGAAGAGGAAGGGGAATGGGTGGACTGCTAGTGGGTGCCGGTTTCTTTTTGGGGATGTAAATGTTCTGAAATTAAATAGTGGTGATGTGAATATAGTAAAAGCCATTGACGTGTACTCCTTAAAATGGTAAATTTTAAACTCTGTGATTATATTTTCATTACAAAAAAATGTAACCCCTTATTCCTTCCCTCCCCCCAAATTAAACATGGGAGGCAATAGTTGCTTTCTTGTTGGGGTCGTTGCGGACAGCTGTCACGGAAAATTAAGGTTGATGAACCATCCAGCAATGGCGCAGATGGGGGTGCAGGGTAGATGGCCCCTATGTCCAGGAGGGACAGCACAGGCCAGCTCTCCTGGAGTTCCGGGTCTCCTGGGCTAGGCCAAGACTAGATTATGCTGGGCTTTGAATGTTAGACCTTTTCTTGTTGGCAACAAGGGAGCTGTGGAAGCTTTGGGGAGCAGACTGGCCAGCCTGGGGATGACTTTGGCCGGCCTCTCCCGGCTGGGAAGGGTGTTGCCTGGTGTCCCTCCACAGCCCAGCATCACCTCAAGCCCTGGGAGCTGCCGGGGCTGGAGGAGGAAGGCACCACTGGGACTGCGTGCACGCGGGAGGACACTGCCTGGACTCTGCCCCGTGGCTGAGCCTCCTCTCCTCTCCCTCAGATCCTGGTGAAGACCATGATCCGCAAGCGCTCCTTCGGAAACCCATTTGAGGGCAGCCGGCGGGAGGAGCGCTCCCTGTCAGCGCCTGGAAACCTGCTCACGTGAGTGTCACCTGCTGCGCTGGAGGCTGAAGGCAGGGAAGCCCCGCAGGTCACTCTGCAGGGGCCCATCCTGGGGAGACCTGGACGGTTGCTGGTTTTGGTTTCACCCTCTTTTGCTGACAGCGAATCCACCCTGGAGTTTTGCCTTTCTCAGTGGGGTGTGCACTTTAATGGGGGGAGGAGGGTGGGAAGCTCCTGACAACCAGAAAGTGCTTTAGTGGCACAGAAATTGCATGCCTGGTGCTCACCCGAGATAGGTGAGCAAGGGTGTCTTGCTGAGGGGACGCTACATGTCCCATAACGCCTGGGTAGGGGATGGGCACCCCATGGGTCCCAAGTGTCCCCTTCTCACTTCCCTTTTCCCTTCCCTCTGGCCATTCCAGCAAAAAACCAACCAGGGAGTGTGAGCCCCTGTCCGAGCCCAAGGTAACGCCTGCCTGCTGCCTGCGCCTAGCCTCTGCCGGGGCCTGGGGGCGGGGGCAGGTTCAGGGCACGGGGCTCCCCATCCAGGGGGATGTTCCCTCCAGCCCGGGCTGCCGTGCCGAGGCTCACCTCTGATCTTCAGACCCAGGATGAGCACAAGGGGCATGGCAGGCCACGCATGTGGGGTGGGGCTGCAGGTGCATGGCGCTCCACCCGGAATGCCTGTGACTTCACCCAGGTCTTCTGACCCAGCTGGCACCCACAAGGGCTTAGTGCACGTCCCTGGCATCGAAACTGTGTCCTCAGGCCCCGGGTCCGCCCCTGCTCTGGGGCGGCTGGTCAGAATAGTTCAGGCATGCTGCTCCCAGCACCCGCCAGCCTTCTCTGATGGGGTGACACCCAGTACACAAGCTCCCCTCTTGCCTGCTATAAATTAGTGTCAGTCCCCTGCCCTGGGAGGGTCCAGACCTTTCCCCCTGGCTGGTCCCCCCTCTTCCACGTGCATCGGTCAGTGCTCCCAGCACCTCTCAGGACAGATGGGAATTTTTGTCTCTGTAAGACTGAGATGACAATCACTTGGCACCTCTGCTGCCACTTGCCGCCTCTCCCCTCCGCCCCACCCGTGCCCATGACAGGGGCCACCTCACCCTCTCATCTGCACCTGGGAGCTCCAGGCAAGCATTCCTGTGTTGTAAAAGCAGCTTTAGTGAGACATCATTCACACACCCTACAGTTCACCTCCTCGGGGCAGAGTGTATAATTCAGTAGTTTCTAATATATTCACAGAGTGGTGCATCCATCACCACAATCAATATCTGGGACATTGTCATGAGCCTGAGAAACCCCACAGCCTTAGATATCGCCACCCGGCACTCCAGCCACTGCTTATCCTTCAGTGTCTAGAGATCCGCCTGTTCTAGACATTCCACATCCGTGGAGCCCTACACTCTGTGGCCTTTTGTGTCTGGCTTCTCCCACCCAGCATCATGATTTTGAGGCCATCCATCCTTGTTGTAGCGGTGCCAGTACTTCATCCTCCATCGTGTGGCTAGACCACAATTTATTCATCCACTCATCTGTTGATGGAAACCTGCCTTGTCTCTACTTTGGGCTGTCTTGATAATGCTGCTTCGAACATTCTCGCACAGGCACGGGCATAGCTAGTTAGGAATTGCCTTATGAGATGAAATTTAGTGGCTGTAGGAATCAGGAGCTTCTAATGTAGGAGAAACACTTGTTTGGGGATTAGTCAAGCTTTTCTGGAGCAGGGCGGCAGCACTTAGCAGCCCAGTGGTCATGGGCAGCTTGAGAAAGCTGCCTTGTCCCCCCAGGTTGCTCCCAGTGTCCTCTGAGCCAAATGTCGGGGTGTGCCCCCTCCCAGGGTGACAGGGAGGAGAAGCCTAAGTCACTGGACTTGGGTTTTTTTCTTCTCAACCTTGGCTGTAGGGTTTGCCTCCCAGCTGTATGCAAGTCTGTCCTTTGTTTCTTTTTAAATTTTCAATGAGATCAAAGCCTCAAGATGCCCTCCAGGCCAAGGCTGGCCCAGAGGGCTTCCTTCTCTATGTGTGCTCACCTGCAGCCCTAGCGACACTTGGGGGTCGGCATCCTTGCCCTCAGCCTGTAGGTGGGTCGCCTTCCAGAAGGTCAGCACTATGCAGCTCGCTGGGCTTATCAGGTGGTGGGACCAGGAGCCCAAAGCCACCAGCTGGCTGCAGCGTGACCAGCGGGTCCGAGCAGGCAGCTGCCAGGGCAGAAGTCCAGGGCCTGCTCTCCTCCCCAGGAGACTTGCTGGCAGAAACATAAACCACCAATGACTAGTTTATAAACAAAGCAGGATTTCTTCCTAGGAATGAAAAGACACCCCGCCTTCTCTCCCTGGTGCAGGGAGGGAGTTTCCCTCTGGCCAGGGACACCAAGACACCCGGCTGTGTGGCCTGCCCAGCGGCTTCCTTAGCAGGAGCTCTGCTGGATGGTGGCAAAGAGTCTGGGTCCCGCCTGGGCCTGCCTCTCACGTCTCCCAGCAAACAGGCCCACCTTGGCCCCCAAAGGCTCTAGCTGGGGGCGTGTCTGTTGTATAGTTTCTTGCAAATGTGGTTTTCCATTACAGAGAGCATACAAAGTCTCCTTTGAACGTTTTAGACATGCAAAGAAAGGGTGGTGGGGAGGAGAGGAGAATCTAAAAGTAATTTAGTAAATAAGGTTGGGGGGGAAGGTGGGAGAGGCTGGTGGGGGCTGTGCCAACACTGCCCAGGGCTTAACATCGCTTTTCTGTTGGGGAGCAGGAAGCAAGGCAGCGAAGACAGCCTCCGGGGTCCCGACCCGCCCCCCGTGGGGGAAGAGGAGGTGCTCTTGTGAAAGGCGTGTCCCCTGTGCTGAATTGGGACGCCGCGGCCCCCAGCTCCCCCGCCAGCATGCATCCGCTGCAGCCCGAGGAGGCCATGGAGTAGCTGCTCGGATGGAGTAGCTGCCGGGACCGCCCGACCACGCATGCGCCTCACCTGCGCCTCACCTGCGGGGCCGCGCACCCTGCGTTCCCCAGCAGCATGTCCTACGGAAACCCTGCACGTGTGTAGGGCCTTGATCGTCATCTCTGGTTTGTTTTATTTTTCTTTGTTGTTTTAAAGGGGACAAAAAAAAAGAGACTTCACTCCGTGACATCGACCTAGGCCGCTGGCTGGCTGAACAGGCAGGTGTGAGGAGTTGCAGACCCAAACCCACGTGCATTTCGGGGACATTTGCTTTTTAAAACGTTTTTATGCCAAAAATTCTTCATTGTGAACTCAGAACCATGTCAGAGATAACCAAGTGAATGTGTGTGGGGCTTGAAAGTCGTGAAAACTGGTCAGAAACTCTGTCGTGTGGTCTGAGACCAGCAGAGTTGACTGTTGCATTTGAAAAAAGAGCAGGGGTGACTGGGGCAGCCCCACACCCGGGAACCTTCTGGAACCTGGACTGGAGGGGGCAGAGCAGGGCTTAGCCTGCCGCAGCTGCAGCAGGCAACTTTCTCCTGAGAAAGACTGTCAATTTTCTTTTTTTTTTTTTTATCAGTAGCGTAGTCATACAAAGAGAAAGGGCTTGAAGCTTCATTGCTTCACAAAGAGGGTTCTCGGACCCTAGAAAGGGCATTTGGTGGTGGGAGTGGGAAGTTCCCCTAAAGGACGGTGGCTCAGCTCAGGCGGGTTTCTGAAGGAGTTGACTGAGCTCTAGTAAATCTCGTTTAATTATAAAAACTTCAGGGTGAAATCCTACACTTCCATGTACATTACATGGCATCAGAGTAAACAAAAAAGTTTTCCCATCCTCTAGCTAGACTGAACTCGCGTTCAAACGTTATTTAGCGCTTCCAGGATCTAGCCCACGGCTTCCGACACGTGGTTGGAGTTAGACCCAGTGAGATGCTTAATGTAGAGTAGCAGCTTAGCTTGTTATGACCTGTGTATCTAGGGGCCACTAAGGGTTTGATTTCTTCTTAAATACTAGCTGATTGTTGTCGTCTGTGAAATACCCAGTTTCTGAAGGGCCGGTTAGAAAACCCTTTCAATCGCCTGACATGCAGAGGATGGTCCCGACTGGCCAAGCTCTGTTGGGATCCGTACTGCAACTTTGGGGCACCTTTTGGAGAAGCTTGTTGAAGCCCAGGGCACTCCTCAGGGTCGAGGGAACCAGGTCTTGTCTCGGGAAGTTCCCTTTTGGAGCCAAAAGTCCAGAAAGAAAAAGTTTACCTTTTTGACTCCCAATTAATATGGGGGAATTTGGTTGCGGTTCAAGTGCATCTTCTTGCAGAGCTGCATGTGGGTGGGTGAGTATGACATTGTCGGAAACCGGGAGAACTTTGCCCTGGGCCATTCCCAGCACGGCTCCCCGCTGCTTTCCCCAGTTCGAAGTCTGGCTGCGGGGGGCGAATGGGTGGGCAGCAGCGGCAGGACCCGACCTGCGTTCTGTAGCTCTTGTCTGGTCAGCATTGGTGTGGAAGCGAGCCTTTGCTCCCCGGCCAGTGTGCTCGCTGAGCCCGGCTTCCAGGTTTCCACAGATCTTCGTGAGCTCTTGACTGTAGTTACACTTTCCTGTTCTCTCGTTGACAGTACTGCGGCAGAAAATGCCGGTGGCCACCCCAGGCAAAGGACCCTGACGGAGGTGGTCTTGCCGCCCTGCTTGCTTTTTCTAACTAGTACTTTGCTTGCCCTCCTGCCCTTGTTTAAATGTATGGGCTCCACCCTTCTGGGAGCAGATGGGCTTTGGTTAGTTCGCAATAAGCACCTTGTAGCAGTTCCAGTCACGATCCTGAGTCATCGTCCCAGCCTGTCTGTGCAGACTCGGGCCTGGCCCAGGGGCTCCCCCAGGGAGGGCGTGCTGGTGGCTCCCCGTGTTTACACAACTGCATTGGGCATTGCGGTTCCTCCCCGCAACGAGACTCTCCACGTGTGGGGTGCCAGGCAGTACCCAGGCTGTGGAGGCAGGAGGCTTGGGGGAGGCCCACATTCGTAATTTTTTTTTTAACAAAGAAACACCAAAGAAAGTGATGGAAAGGACCCCACCCCCGTGGGAAGTGTAAGTGGAGCCGGCGATAACAAAAAGCGTTAGAGCTTCCTCTTTTCTAGCACAAACATGCGTTTCGAAAAGCCGGCCGTTTCAGGAAAGGGGAGAGGCTGTGGTGAGCAAAGTGGGCACCATTCATGGCTCTGGTTGTTGACTCATGTGGGGCCCATTTGGTGCACCTGTGGCCTTGAAGGAAGCACAAGTTCCCCCATTTTTCCTCTGCCCAGTTCCCCTTCCCCTTCTGTTTGCACAGGCTGGCCAGTGGCTCCCCAAAAGCCTTATCTAGCCCCTTGTTGGCAGTAGGGGCTGGCGAAGCCTCCTCCCCGCGGCATTGATCTTTCCTGTGAGTTGGGCTCCTGTCCTCAAAGCCTTTCTGGAACAAGGAGGTGAAAGGACACCTGTGCACCTAGATGCGCAGGCTGGGCCTGTCACTCCCACCGGGTCTCCGGGGCAGCTTCATGTTCCTGGGGAGGGAAGCACCATGCCCTCCACTCGCTTCCAAGGTGCTAGGGAGGGTTTCAAGGTCGTTGGCTCCCGTCTTCTTCCCAGCTTTAGGGACCGAATTTCGTGGGACTGCTGACTTTTCTATTCTGTGACTGACTCAATGCCCGATGCTTCTGTTTTATTCCTGATCCTTTCTACTATGCATTTTCCTTTTATCAGGTGTACAAAGTTAAATACTGTGTATTTATCACTTAAAAGTACATGAACTTAAGAGAAAAAAAATAAGCCTTTGGTGTTTTTCCACAGATGTTTATGCTTCTCTGTAAACTTGAAATAAACAGACAGCAAAATGGTGCAAAGCCCAGTGCCTCTGGGATTTTTTTTTTTTTTTTTTTTCTGGTTACTATGCCAGCACTTTCCAGGTCCCAGATCCTCACGCCTGCTTTCCTTCCTTAGCTGACTACAAGATCTGACTGTGTTGCCTCCTTCACTCCTCATTCATTCCAGGGCCTGGATCAGCAGGGGCAGCACCCCCCAGGGGTAAGTTAGGAATGCAGGCCCCAACCCCCCTGTAATCAAGATCCCCAGCTGGCCCATCTGCCTGAAGAGGTTTGAGCAGCACAGCTCCAGCCGCAGGACACTGCTAGCTTCTGTGACAGGGGAGCAGCTCCTGGACCAGCGTTGGTGGAGTGCTACGCGACATGTCACCGCATGGTAGGGGCACTCAGCTCCTTTCGAGGATCATCACTTGTAAACAGAGGCTACGAAGAGTTAAGTTGGCCAGTTGTGCGAGGGCTCTGATTTGTCTGCGAAATTCCCTGTGCAGGTTGCCGGTTTTCACGATGTCTGGAGACTTTTAGAACTGATACTATCTCAGACTAGAGGCTGAGGGTCCCCTGCATTCCAGCTGGCCCACTGCCGCTGACAGACAATGGCCTGTAAGAGGCAGGAGCAGGCGGCCCTATCCCCAGACTTCCTGAGAGTCTGATGAAAGCCAAAAGAAACCAGACGGGCATCACTTGGCAGACCTAGGGGTTTCAGAGACGCCTGGCCACCGGACCACGGGTGCCAGGCTGAAAGTGTACCACTTCCTTAGGAGGCAGCACCAGGGAACCCCAACAAGTGGGGGTGGGGCTGAGGACTAAGCCAGCCTCCCACCCAGTCCCTCACCCTAGCTGGCCTTGGCATTCCGGCTCAGCAAAAGGGAGGTCCAAGGAAGTCTCCCCAATCCAGTATCATCACTCCTTAGCCTGTGAGATCATAAGCCATTCCTGAAGATTCGGGCACAGGCACTTCTCAAAAAGGCAGCATGAACCAGAGCTTTGCCAAAGGGGTTTGGTTTCTTTCCTTGTCCCCTCCCCAACTGCCCCCCGCCCCAAAGTTAAGAACAGCCCAGATCGGTCATTTGTCCCGCAGAAGCAGAGCACAGCTAAAGCAAACACTCCCTGTACTTGGCAATAACCTCCTGATGGGGGAGGAGAAGCTGCTTTCTTTAGGGAGATCCTGAACACCTGATGCCACATTAAGTTGGTGTGAAGGGGAAGCTAGAAATAGCTTCATTAACATTTCAAACCGGTGGCAAGGTAAGGTGTGGGTGGTGCTGCTTTGGGTTGGAGACTTCTGGAAAGCAAATGGTTGGGAAAGAGTAGGTGGGGACAGTAAGGCATTTTCATGATACCTAAACCTGCGTCCCCTGGAGTGCCATAATAGTTGCTGTCAAAATGTAAGTCTGGGTAGGACAAGTGGCCACTATGGAAGAAACAGCTGGTCAACGCCATAGAAACCCAACCTGATGATCAAAAGTCTTAGGCCTTTAAGAAAAGGCCTTTCAGAAGGAGGGGGGAAATGCCCAAGCTCAGCAAGGGACTGTTTCAGGCACCCAGCAGCTCGCTGCTGTAACGCGGGTTCATGGTAGAAAAACGGGAAGGAGGGAAGTTCCAGCTCAGGTATGAGACAACGCAAAGATTAAGAAAATCGTCTGTTTTAATGTTTGGTCCTTAATCACCTCAGCGGGCTCTCCTTAGAGGAAAACAACCAACTCCTGGTGAGTGGGGAGATGGAGCCTCTGGCTAGGAAGAGGAGCAACAGCCCAGGCTGGCTCTGGAGCGCGACCACACCAGGGTCCTACTTTTCTTGGTAAAGTGCTTCAACAGAGCTGTGGGCCTCGGAGGACCGCACGTGTCTAAAGTGGGGGAGAGGGCAGCTGAACAGGAAGCTGGGCCTGGAGAGGGCCAGGCCCTGCAGCCACGAGGAGTCCTTGCCCTCGGGCCAGAGATCATCCCAGCCACCCCAAGTTGCAGGAACAGGAGGGATGACCCACTGGGCCAGCCTGGTCTGCAAACCCATGAAATGGGCGGCGGGGCCACCTGGAAGCACGAGTGGAATGGAGTTGATCAGAATCTGGATCTTTGTCAGTGGTGACGTGGCTGCCCCGACTCCCTCTTGGCCGTGCTGGGGGGAGGGCCGTGGGGAGCCCGGCTGTGGGTGGGCATCACTGGTCCATCTGGTCACCAAGACCCTGCAAAGAACAAGCAGGTAAATGGATGGCCAAGGCCCCCTGCAGGCCAGCCAGGACAAGGTGGGGTGAGCAAGAGGCTGGCACTTGCCCTGAGATGACTGAGGAGCCCCCCTCCTGCGGCGGTCTCGGGTGTGGTACACAGCCCCTCTGCTAGGTGAGGCCCATATGTGTCATTTGAGGATGGGATTTTGGCAAAATACTGTAATAACGATCTGAGATGTGCCGATTAAAAAGAGAATAGGTTTTTATTTTATTTTATTTTTTTTTTTTTTAATTTTTTTTTTTTTTTTAATAGAGGCATGTTTTTCTTTATTTATTTGTTTGCTTGTTTGTTTGTTTTGTTTATACATGCACTGGGTACAGTCAGAAGCGCGGGAGGGTGAGAGAATCCACCAGAGCCAGAGCGGGGAGCAGAGCAGGCAGAAGGACCGAAGTACACTGCTGAGGGGAGCAGCGGGCGACAGGAGAGGTCTGCGCGCCATGTGGGACCCTCCTCCGGTGGCCGGGGAGCAGCCGGGGATTGAACCGGCGCCGCAGAGGCCGCGGGCAGGTTCGCAACCCAGCGCTCTACCGCTGCGCCACCGGGGAGGCCCTATTTTATTTTATTTTTAAAGGGTTTTTTTTTTTTTTTAAGATTGATTCATTTATGCATACAAGAGCGGGGGCACAGGCCAGAGATGCGGGGGGATAAGAGGATCCACCAGAGACAGAGCAGGGAACAGAACAAGCAGATGGACTGAAATACACTGCTGAGGGGAGCAGCGGGTGAGACAGGAGAGGTCTGCTGCGCCATGTGGGTAGCTCCCTGGCGGGCTGGGGATCGAGCTTGTGCTGCAGAGGCTGAGGATAGCTTCACAGTGCGGTGCTTAACCCCTTGTGCCACCAGGGAGGCCCAAGAATAGGTTTAAAAAGTGAATCCATTTGACGAAAAGTGGCAAGTGAACAAGTGCAGGTGGTTGAGAAACGGGCAGAGGACAGGAGTGGGCTGACGGCAGCCCCAGTGAGGCCTCCCTGAGACACCCTACAGTCCCCAGCACTTCAGACCTTCCTGCTGCTGGAGGTCTGGGGCGGCCTACCTGCTCATAGTCCTCCACATATTTGTATTTCTTCTCCCGATAGTAGTACTTTTTCTTCATGCAGTAGAGGACGATGATGTCACACAATACCGTCGCCTAAATTCAGCACAGGGGAGAAAAGGAGCAGGCTGTGTCCATCCCATCACCAGGGCCCTTCCGGGGAGCAGGCCAGGCCCCGAGGGCCGGGGTTTGGGGATGGAGGCCCAGGGAGACGTGTAGAGGGTCGAGTCTAGAAAGTGTCATAGGGCGAACACCTCGCTGTGCTCCCCTCAGCCAGGGGGCCCCGAGTCACTCACCACCCCTAAGAGCGCCACGCCGGAGCCAATGTTGATCATGGTAGGGATGATGTCAAATTTCCCAGCCTGCAATGGCAGGGGAAAAGGAAAAAGAGCAGCAATGGCGGCGGCAGAAAGCAGATGGAGGAGGGTCCGGGGCCCCTGCCAGCCCAGAGGAGGGCCAGCGCGTCTGCGGCCGGGCTACCTTTCCAAACACGATGATGTCAAAGCGGATGCCGTAGGCCTTGGTGAGTGTGCGGTGCTCAGTGCCTGTCAGGTCCTTGTAGTACTTGGCAAACCTGGGGGCAGCACAGGGCAGAGTGAGCAGGGGCCAGCCTCCCCTCGGGTCCTGTGCCAGGGGTGCTGGCGCAGAGCTCCAAGGCTCGAGCAGAGTCGCACGGCTAAGCTCGGCCCTGCTTGCTGAGCAGATCACAGGAGCACCTGGGGGCCCTCTCTTTGCTGATGTGGGTGACAAAAGCGCAGGAAGGCTGGAGTGCTGGCAGCAGGGCCCAGGCAGAGCTGCCCCCTCACGGTCACCACCACCTGCACCTCTAATGTGGGAGCCGCTTGCTCTGAAAGTCCTTCCTGATACGGCCCAGCCAGTTGCCTCCCAAAGAGACCCTGGCCACTAACAGAGAAAATGGTGGCCAGCTGCTTGGGGCGCCGTGCCGGCCACAAGCCAGAGGCCACACTGGACAGAGAGCCGCAGATCCGCCCAAATGAACAGACGAGTGTGGTAGAGCCGCCCGCGGGAAGGGTCCTGACCCTGAACGAGGTGGGCGCTGCCACCTGCTGCCACATGAAGGACCCCGAGTGGAAGAGGCCGGAGACCAAGGCCATGCACGGAGGATTCTGCTCACATGGCAGAGCAGGGACAGGTCCAAGGGACAGAAAGTGGGCTGGGGGCGGCTTAGGGCTGAGGGAGATGGGTGGGTGACAGCCAAGGGGTGGAGCCTGCAGTGACTGGTAACAACAAGGGTCAGGTTTCATGTTCTAGTTGGGAGCTGGAAGGGCACAGAACCTTATCTCAGGAGCCATTGCCAAGGAAGGCTGGCCGGGAGGGGGCGGGAGGACCTCTAAGCCACTATACCACTAGGCCCATGTTTTTCGGGGGACCCACTAGAACCCTAACCCTCACATCCCGGTCTGTCTGGCTGATGCTTTCCAAGCCAAGGGTGGACCTGGTGCTGGTGGAGGTGCAGGTGATTTGTGTTCTCCTGAGTGGCCCATCGGCTTCTCTCTGCTTGGGGGTTCCAATCAGGGGGCTCTCCAAGAACTACATAACAGCAGAGTGGAGCCACCACTGAATTCCCTTCCTGGGAAAAGAATCCAAATACCTGCCCAGCTTCCTGCCTTAAGCCAGACGCAGAAATGGAGACATTTCCGCGGCACCCACGAGCCTTTGATTCCCCTCAGCACCACCAGAGGGAGACAAGCAACCAACAGCACAGGGGCTCAGTGGTGCCCACAGGGCCTGTGACAGTCACAGCGGTGGGCACAGGAAAATGTTGGTGGCCACAGATTTTGCGGCTTGAAGTAAGCAGGACATGTGACTCAGGACCCTTCTCATCAGACCAGCTGCAGTGGGCTAACTCCTCCTGGATGCCTGACTGATCCCCCACCTGTGTGACCCAAGGGTGTTTGCAGATGTGATTAATGAAGGTAAGATCCAGCTGGGGAGGATGGAGAGAGAGGACACAGAGAAGGCAAAGCAGAGACAAAGGGAGGGACTAGGGGGGACTCCTTGGAGCTCAGAACAGTGAAGATGCCTGCCGGGGCCACCAGAAGCCAGAAGGGGCCGAGAAAGGGCCTTGAAATCTGGGCTTCTGGCCTCTAGAACTGTGAGAGTAGACGGGAAATGAATTAACAGCACTTTCAGCTGGGGATACCAGTGACTGTACTTTCTGTGGCTGAAACTTGTACCCCAGTGCCCTGGAAATTCCTGGGCATATGCTCAGCCTTGGAGCACATGTTGGTCGGAGCCCAAGACAGGGTAACTGGAGGGTTACAGGTGAGCCGAGGTCCTGCTGAGGCTGGCTCTCCTGGGCTCTGCACAAGTCCAGCATGGCTCTCGGGCCAGAAGCCATGGTGCAAGGTCTTTCTGGGAGCACTGGGTGGAGGGAGGGTGAGAGAGGCCTCTGGTGGGCATGGATGCTCCCACACTGCAGGGACTTGTCACCCCCCCACACCTGAGACACCCAAGCTCACACTCACCTGAAGTTGTAGCCGGGAGACACGTTGTGGCTGAGGTCCCGGGTGTCCAGGCGGCGGAAGGAGTACTGGGGCAGGCAGAGGGAGGCTGCTCGGTCCAGGTTGCAGGCCCAGTTGATCTGGATGCCAATGATGCCTCCCTGCAGGTGGCGGGCACAGACAGCAAACTCCCTCAGCGCCTGCTCTGGGAGGAGAGGCGTAGGCAGGCCGGCTCGAGAAGGGGTGCACCTACCTCCACGGCCATGTCCTGGAAGCTATGGCCCGCAGACTCTACTATTTTGCCAAGGCGGAATATGGGGCAGAAGGGATCTGTAACCGCATCGTACGTGCACGACTTGAGGTAGGTGGTGGTGACGTTGGGCAGGATATTTCTCCTAAAATCGGGAGAAAGAGAATTGGAGTGAGGAGAACGTCAAAGAGCAGTCAGACCTGGGGGTATATAAACGGTGGGTCACCACTTACTTGCTGAAATTAAACTTGGGGTACCAGATGTTGTTCTTAACCAAAATAGTGAAGTTTTCTGCAGCCTTTAGGAATGCAGGCCTGAAAAAAAAATAACGCCAGTGTCCATGAAAACACAAAGCTATGCATACTCACTTAGGCCCGTAATATTTTTCAAAAGCATCCACACAAGTGTCATTTTGTCCAGAAAAAGTGAAATGTTTCTAGCATTTTCTACTCTCCTCTGCATAAATACTAGGTCAAGAAGGAGACTGCACAAGACTTCTGGTTTCTTCTTTCCTCGGAAGCCAGGGCCTCTGGGCCAAGGCAGTGGGAATTGAAGACCCTGAGTTGGGGTCTTGCTGGTGGCTTCTCTGGCTGCCTCTCAGCTGTGGGCTCAGGGGAAATGAGCAACAGATCTGGTTTTACAAGTCAAAGCAAAAGTGAATTCACCTCCTGGCTGGAGCCTGACCTCATCTCAAAAGTACACAAAAAGCACGTGTCTGCTGGCTCAGGGCCTGTTCTCCAAGAGCCACGTCAGCTCCTGGCTGAGAGTCTGCGCTGAATCTGTCCCCAAGGAGACCTCACTTCTTTGGTGGCTCTCAGCAGGACAACCCAGCACTGTCAGCTGAGCCCTCTGTTGGGGAGGCCTCCCCTGATCCTGGCTGATTCTCTGAAGTTATAAATAATAGCAATAGTCTCCCACCTGGTGATGGCAGCGAGGCCAGTGACAAGGCCGCACAGTGAGGGCAGGGAGCTTATAAGGGCTTCACCTGTACTTCTCTCGGGGCTTCAGATTCTCTTAGCCCTGTCCCTGGGGCTTGCAAGCTTTTGTCATTCCCTGTACCAGAACCTGGAAAGGCTCCACATCTGTGAGTCTCATATCCAAGATTTTTAATATTAACTCACCTTAAAAAAATGAAGTGAAATTCACAGAACATGAAATGAGCCATTTTAAGGTGAACAATTCAGCAGTGTCCAGTACATTCACAAGTCTGCACCACTGTCACCTCTATCTATTTCTATCATAGTCTCATCCCTCCAAAAGGAAACTATAAACCAATAAGCAGTTACTATCCTTCCTACTCTTCAGCTCTTGAAACCACTGATTTCCTTTGTTTCTATGAATTAGTTCTGGATATGTCATATGAGTGTATATCCATCATACAAAGTTGGCAATCATGCTATGTGGTCTATTGTTTTGCTTCTCTCACTCAACATGTTTTCCAGATTCCTGCTTATTGCAGCCTGGATCAGAAGGTAATTAATTTTCATGGCTGAATAATATTCCCCAATCTGGAATTTTAGATATTAGATATATTGGGTGTACCACATCCTTGTTTATCTGTCCCTCTGCCCAAGGACATTTGGGTTAATTCTACCTTTTTGGATCAACTTACATTTTTGACAACGCTTTTGAAGTGAAACTTTCCATTTCAACAATAAAAATGATCATTTGCACAAGTTAGAGGCCATTGTTCAAATCAGTACAGATCAAAACAATGATACCATAAGGTGTGGTTAATGCTACTGTCTGTCCCATGTGCAAATGTGGGTATTTTCTTTGTGGAAAATGAAAATCAACAACTGATAAAAAGGTATTAAGGACACTTCAAACCAGGATTTCCTCTTTGGTATCAGTGAAGGGGTTGAATAGAATAACACGAGGAGTGTTTTTCTTAGCATGTGACTGGATGCCATTTTGGGTTTATAAACCAAGATCATCTTACACAGAATTAGATCAGCAGCAGCCAATGAAAACATATCGTGAGACACAAGCCAAACTGTAAGTTTTCTAGTGACCACATTAGCAAATAAGAACACACTGGTGAATCATACTTTTGTCTAACTCAGTATACCTAAAATATTACTTCAAAGTGTAAACAACAAAGTATTACTAATGAGTTAGTACATATTCTTTCCTGCATGATCAGCCTTTGGAATCTGGAGTGTATTTTGCATAGATTATTCTGGTTCCAGCCACATTCTGAGTGATGGACAGCCCCACACGTCCAGTGTCTCCTCTGCTGGAGAGCACATTTCTAGAACATTCACCCATAAGATGCTAGTGCCCTCAGTAACTAATAAATCACTGTTTCTCAGCCGTTTCTTCTGTCACTGTGCACCCAGCATGAGGTGGAGGCTAGGAGGTTGTCCTCTGGACCCCAGATCCAGCCATGGTGCCCACGTGCTGTGGTTAGTAGAACAAGAAATGGCCTGGATTCTGTGTATATGTGTGTGTGTGTACGCATGTATGTAAGGCACTGAGAACTGTTTCCTGTCAGTTATACTTACAATAGACAGAGTCCAAGCCTAGAAGTAAGTCATGTACACTCTTATCATGAGGATGGACACTGAGGCCTCCCCTCCACTTGGTCAAGAACTGTCACCCCAGGGTAGCCTGATCCCAAAGACACCCAGCACACAGAACCAGCACATTTTGCCTTGACTGCCCTCTCCCCCTAAGCCCACCCACTTCACAGGCCTAAAACCAGAGTTTTTAGAGCTCACCTTGGCACCTCCAAGTAATCCTCAACCGGGCACCAGGCTGCTACCTCACATGTCTTCAGGGTTTTGTTGAACTGCACGCATCTGCCCGTCTGGACCCCTAAAGGGACAAGCGGGATCCTGATCCATGGTGGGGGTCTCTATTTTCTATTTTAGCAGTTCGGAGCCCCACCTCAGATGAGGAATTTTTAGCTCTCCAAACTCTGAGATTTATGTCTGGAATTTGGAGTTCAAGGGAATGGTTGGCCTAGTCTAGCCTCATCTCTGCTTCGCCAGTTGCAGGAGCTAGAGTGATGCTACAGTGCAGCTCAAGATCTGGGGTGATATCCAGGGTGCAGAAGACAGGTGAATGTTGAGAAGGACCCTAATAAGGGCACCTGGCTCACTCAGAGTCAACTGAAGGCACTGGGGAGTTTGGGGACTTTTTCATCCTGGAATTTCTCTATGGAGGAGCCCCACCAGGGTGGTGATCTGGTATGGGGGTGCTCTCCCCAGGCTGTGTCTACTGTGCGGACACAGCTGTGCTCATACCGTTGCTGTGGGTGCCTGCAGAGCTGGCGGTACAGTTGGCATCTGATTCACACACAGTGGTCTTATCTGGAATCTGAGAATAGAAAAACGAGTGAAAAGTGCTCCAGCGGCCTGGGCCCCACACATGGGCGACAGGGGCGGACAGGGCGCGCCTACCTCAGGACAGAGGCCCTGGGTCTGGTTCGTGGTGATGATCATGTTGGTCATGATGAAGAGGGAGTTTTCCTCCTGCAGAGCAGGCAGAGAGGAGAGAGTGAGCTGCTGTGTTACCGTCAGAGGCATGGAGAGCTGGGCATTCACCTGAGAGGTCACTACCTTTCACTTCTCCCACACGCCATGCAGAAAACAATTAAAAAAACTGATCTGATGGTCTCCTGTTCTCTCTTGTGAGAGTCCATATCCTAATGGAAAACAGGGACTCAAACAAATACTTGTATACATGTGTTCACAGAAGCATTCTCCACAATAAACCAGAGATTTGCCTTGTGGGTTTACAAAAATAAAACAAATAACAAAATGTGGAAGTGTGAAATTCCCACTGGATTTTTTCCTTGGATTTGAGAATTGTGTTTTCACCATTCTGCTTGAGATGAAGATGTCCACATGGAACTACCTGTGGTTAAGCCAGCAGATTTTAGAGTTGAGGAAACAGTTGATTGAATGTTATCTGTTAGACCGTAAGCCACAAAAGGACCCATGAGCCTGGTTCTTGGCTAACGCCATTAGTCCAGGCACTGACGTTAGAATTGGATGTTAGGGCCTCCCTGGTGGCGCAGGTGGTCGAGTGCCACACTGTAAAGCTGTGCGCAGCCTCTGCAGCACAGGTTCGATCCAGGTGAGAATCCCACATGGCGCAGCAAACCTGTCCTGTCTCTCCCACTGCTCCCCTCAGCAGTGTATTTCAGTCAGTCTGCCTGTTCTGTTCCCCGCTCTGTCTCTGGTGAATCCTCTCTCCCTCCCGCGCATCCAGCCTGTACCCTGGTTCTTGTATAAATAAATAAATCTAAAAAAAAAAAAAATTGGATGCTAGTTAACCAGGTGTGCAGTCAGCACTGGCAAGGAGCTCACCGTCCTCGGTGCTGGACAGAAGTCGTGGTGGGAGACGTACCTGAGCTGGAATCACATAATCGGCCACATCCCAGACCCGGAATCCCAGGGTAGAAGTGTTGGTGACAGCCACGCCCTTGGCTTTGGTAGTAACTGAGCTGACCACAGAGTCCGTTTCCTGGTAGCCTTTCTCCCACACAAACACCCACCTACAACATAAAACAGGCTGCTTACATTTCCTCTGGGATTCAGTGCTTCTGAATGGAGGCTGGGGAGCCTCTGAAGCCAGGGGCTGATAGGACCGTGTTTACTATTCTAATTATGTGACTTTGCGAAAGCTGCTTGATGCTCAGGGCTCCATTTCCACGGAAAAACAGAGATAATAGCACATAAACCGCAGTGTGTTGTGTAGGAAATGCAAGAGATGATGCCAGGAAAGCAGTGATTAGCATAAGGGAAATGTTCAACAAATACCATCATCAGTTTTAGATATTTGAGCACTTTCAATGCATTATGACCTGCAGAATCACCGAGAGATAATAAAAGTTATCTCTGCAGTGCTTATACATGGAAAGACTGATCTAAGCTCTTAGTAGTAAATAATTTAATCCATACCACTCTGTAAGGCAGTTGTTAGTCTCCATTTTACAGAGCAGGAAACAGAGACACAGAGAGGTGAAGTCACTTGCCCAAGATCACACAGCTCATGAGTGGAGACTCAGGACTTGAACTCAGGCCCTTTCCCTCTAAGCCTCTGTGTTGCCCTCTAGTCTACAATCTGTCTAGAAAGGAGAATCCTTGCCTTCAAGTGGCTTTTTAGGGCAGTTTCTTATCTTTCTCTGGGAATTCAGGTCACTTGTATGTTTCTCTGTGAAGTGGGGACCCTCCTGCCAGTCTGAATAATGAAAAATCTAAAGGCATTAGGGCACAGTGGTGAGGACATGGCGCCCAGACTGGAACCCAAGGAGCCCATGGAGACACGTCCATGTCTCATCTCCACCACGCACTGAGTAGTAGAAGCTCTGTCAAGTTGCTGACCTTTTCTGTGCCTCAGTTCCTTCCAGGACTTCACAGGATTGTGGTGAGGTTAAGTGAGTTAACACATGTCAAATGCTGAGAACAATGTTTGAAGTCGCCATCAGTAGGCTGAAATTGTCCATGATGGGAGTATTTATACTCTGGAAATTGACCAGCAGGATGAATCAGTAACTATTACTGTTCTTTCTTCTAGAATCAAGAAATATTGGCATCCCTGTCACCGCCTCATAAGTCCTAGATGTCGAGACTTCAGAATTTCACTGGTTGTGGTTACTTATGGATGGGCTCATCTGGCCTGAGCAGTCTCCAAGTCCACTGCCCATCTTAGGAAGCAACTGGGTTTTCCCTAAAAAAAGTCCTGTGTATTTAGAGTTTCTAGGAATTTAGCTGTGCTGTAGGCTTCCATCTAATTCTGGTGGAGGCACAGGAGCTTAGGGCAGGAATTTCTTTTAGAAACTCATTCCATGATCCAATTCATCTTAGTGAAATACGATGTTTTAGCATGGTGACCCACAGCACTCCTTCCTAAAAAAGAGACTCAAATGCAATTTTCTAATTCTGTTATCACTCACTTGATAATGGTCTTAACATTCAGGGGTGTATCACTGTATTTTGGGGGGAATTGGTGGTGCTGGTGGTACTTAATGAGACTTCGTGAGTATATATGTGGAAGGCCATTTCAGCCAATACTGTCAGTCCTTACTGCTGCTGGTTTGACAGGTGTTAGAAGACAAATCTGTGTGTTCATGCAAATCCCCTTGGGCAATGTTAAGTGACTGCAAATCGCACCCCAGGCTGGGAGATCTGTTACTTTTCAACAGTTCCTCTGTTGAGATGTTCAATAACATCTTGGTCCCCAAGGGAAACACTTGGTCCCCAAGCTTTGTTGCACACCTCAGTTTCCTGGGAAGATGATCAAACTCTATGAGTTAAGTCAGAAGGCCTGGGGAGGGAAGACAGCAGCTGGTATTTTTGAAAGATTCCCAAAATGTTCTACTGTGTACTTTGGGGACCATACCATGACAGATAATATCTGTCACCTCAGTCACTGTAGACACCACTCCCCGTGTGGACCCTTGAAAGTGGAACCAGTGGGCATGGTAATTTCCCCATCTTCTCTCAAGTTTTATTCAAAATTAAAGGGTGTGTTAAGATGAAGCACTTGGTGAGACACAGCACTTGGTGAGGGCTGAAGGTGGCAGGGCACACAGAAGCCTAAGAGGGCATCATGAGGAATGATGAGGTCAAGGGTGGCTCCTATACAAACCCCCCAGAGCCCATCAAGAAAAAATGTGAACTTCAAATGGGTTTATGACCCTGTGACCTCTCTACTCTGTTGGGTTACCACATGGTGCTAAGGGACAGCAACAGAAGGATGCCAGCGTCTAAGAGACACCAAGCAGAAACCCCAAACCTCGGTTTCCGTGAGCCAATCATAATGGCAAGTGAAGAGCAAAGACTGAGATATTTAGGGTAAAGCTCATCCCCCAATCCCCCAATTCAAAAGGCATTACAGAGCAATTCGGAAGGACAAGAAGCAGGACAGGCGAGGAGGCAGGGCTAGTTTTGACTTAAAACGGGTCAAAGCAGGCTGTGCCCCGGGGGCCTGGAGCGCAGCGAGGGGCGTGTCACCGCCTTACTGCCGCCTGGAAGGTGCCTGCAAGCTCACCTGTGACCCAGGTGGGTCACCTGCCTCACGCCGCGGTCCCCTCACCAGAGTGGAGGGCTCCCTGGGGCTGACCGTTGCCTTAGGCCAAAACGGGCAGGAGTTACGCCGGCCCCTGACCCGCGTGGGGTCACCCTCGGCGCCGGGACCCCACGGGACGGCGCTGGCCGCGCTCACCCGATGACGTAGGCCAGGATGAGCAGCTGCACCGCGCGGTTCATCAGCCCCACTTTCCGGCTGCGGATGAGCACGATGCGCGGCGTGTCGTACTCGAACAGGAAGGCGCTCAGCGCCGCGCAGCAGCGCGCCATGGCCGCGTCCTCCCCAGTCGCCGCGGCCTCCACGCCCTGGGCGGTCCAGACGCCCCGCGGCCTGCGCCCGCCCCGGAGCCCCGCCCCGGAGGCGCGGCCAGCTCGCCCGCCGCCCCGTTGGCCCGGGCCGCCCGCCCCGTAGCCTTGTTGCTCCGCAATCCCTGGACCCCCCCCACCCCCCCGCCGCCCCAGCTAGGCCCCGCCCCCAGAAAGCCCCGCGCCCACCCGAGGCCCCGTCGCTCACCCGCCCCGTCCCTGACCCCTTCCCTGGCCCGCCCCGCCCCACGCCGTAGCCCCGCCCGGCCCCGCCCCCGGCCCCCGGCCCGCCTTCCCGCGCGTCGCCCTCGGTCGGCGAGGGCTTGAGGCGGGCGGAGCTGCCCTCAGGGCCCGGGGCCGGCCCAGCGCGTGACCGCCCCCTCGGGTATGCGGGAAGCCTCGCGGGCGAGGTGCCGCGACAAGTTCCAAAGGGCCGGGGAGGAGGAGCTCGCCCCTCGGCGGGATGCTCTGAGGGAAGCTTGCCGCCCCAAGGAGTGAGAGACCGACCCCTTCAGGAGGGCCGGGAGGAAGTGCGGTCCTCCTCAGAGAGAGGCGTGCGAGTGGCCCCCTCAGCGGGAGCACGGCCCAGGAGCGCCCCCCTCAGGTGGGCGAGTGAGCCTTCGGGGACCCGGGTCTCCCCAGCAGAGAGGCCCTCCCTGGGAATGAGCTGCCCGCTCGGGGAGGCCCAGGTCCCCTGGAGGGTCTCGGGGTCGCACTGACGGGGTCTCCTCAGAGCAGCCCCTCTGGAGTGGACACTTGTGCAGGCTCTGAGGGTACTGGCGGGGTGGACACCCGCCGCTTCTGTTTCTGCCACAAAAACTGAACTGTCCGGTCACCGGGGAGCCCCGGGCTGAAGCCTCACTCCCTCCACACCCCCTTGGAGCTGCGCAGGCCTCAGCCCTGCTCTGCTCGCTGGGTCGCTCCGTGGCAGGTTGGGGCGGCCGCAGCCAGGACCGGAGAGGGGCTTGTGTCCATCCCTTCCGCTGAGACCGTTTTTATCGCACCTTTAGGGAGCACTGGAGAGAGGAGGGAAAGTGGAGGGAACACCCAGTTCCACGAGTTGAACATAATTTTCCACCTTTATTTACTCCCTTCAGGTATGTACAGAATTTTTCCTTGTCATTATTTCCTAAATAGTAAATACAGCATAACTAGTGACAGCATTTCAATTGCAGCAGGTATTAGAAATAGCCTGGAGATGACTTAAAGTGTATGGGGGATATGAGCAGGTTACATAGGTGAGGGGACCGCGGCGTGAGGCAGGTGACCCACCTGGGTCACAGGTGAGCTTGCAGGCACCTTCCAGGCGGCAGTAAGGCGGTGACACACCCCTCGCTGCGCTCTAGGCCCCCCGGGCACAGCCTGCTTTGACCCGTTTTAAGTCAAAACTAGCCCTGCCTCCTCGCCTGTCCTGCTTCTTGTCCTTCCGAATTGCTCTGTAATGCCTTTTGAATTGGGTGATTGGGGGACGAGCTTTACCCTAAACATCTCAGTCTTTTTTTTTTTTTTAAAGATTTATTTTTTTATTTCTTATTTATTTTTTATACAAGCACTGGGTACAGTCAGAAGCGCGGGAGGGTGAGAGAATTCACCAGAGCCAGAGCGGGGAGCAGAACAGGCAGAAGGACCGAAGTACACTGCTGAGGGGAGCAGCGGGCGGCAGGAGAGGTCTGCGCGCCATGTGGGACCCTCCTCCGGTGGCCGGGGAGCAGCTGGGGATCGAACCGGCGCTGCAGAGGCTGCGGGCAGCTTTGCAACCCAGCGCTCAACCGCTGCGCCACCAGGGAGGCCCAACATCTCAGTCTTTGCTCTTCACTTCCCATTATGATTGGCTCACGGGGATATGAGTAGGTTACATAGGTGACTACGTCATTATTTTTTTGAAGATTTATTTATTTATTTATACAAGCACTGAGTACAGTCAGAAGTGCGGGAGGGTGAGAGAATTCACCAGAGCCAGAGCGGGGAGCAGAACAGGCAGACTGATGAAATACACTGCTGAGGGGAGCAGCAGGCAGCAGGAGAGGTTGCGCGCCATGTGGGACCCTCACCGGTGGCGGCTGGGGATCAAACCGGCGCTGCGGAGGCTGCGGGCAGCTTTGCAACCCAGTGCTCAATCACTGCGCCACTGGGGAGGTCCGACTACGTCATTTCTAAGAGGGAATTGAACATTGAGGATTTTGCTAATCTGTCGGGTATCTCGAACCAATCCCCTCAGGGCTACACATCGTGTTTTTGTTTTTGTTTTTTTTTTAGATTTATTTATTTATGCATACAAGAACTAGGGTACAGGCCAGAGGTGCTGGGAGTAAGACAATTCACCAGAGACAGAGGGGGGAGCAGAACAGGCAGATCCACTGAAATACACTGTTGAGGGGAGCAGTGGGGAGACAGGAGAGGTCTGCTGTGCCCTGTGGGTCAGCTCCCTGGCCAGGATTGACTGGATTGACTCAGTGGCTGGACATAGCTTGATAGCTGTGTCTTTAACCCGTGTGCCACCAGGGAGGCCCAGGGCAACACAACTTAACTGTATTCAGTTGTGTATATATTGTTGTACCTTTGACCTAGTGTAGTCAGTTACTGAGCACGATTGGGAATTTAGTTTCCAAAGAAAAAGGGTTTTCATGAACGCTGCCAAGACTATTCAATGAGTAAAAAGTAGTCTTTCCAACAAATGGTGTTGTGGCAACTGCATATCCACATGCAAAAGGATGCGTGCAGCTGGCCTCTGCCTCAATCAAACACCTAAATGTAAGATCTAAAACTACAAGACTCAGTTGCAAAATGCAGATGTAAATCTCTGTGACCTAGGGTTAGGTGATGGGTTTTTTAAGATCGAATGCTCCGGCTGTTAAAAAAATAGAAGGGCCTCCCTGGTGGCGCAAGGGCTTAAGACGCAACCTATGAAGTTATCTGCAGCCTCTGCAGCACAAGTTCGATCCCCAGCCAGCCAGGGAGCAACCCACATGGCGCAGCAGTTTATTTGTTTTTTGTTTTTTGTCTCCTGACTTGCCCGCTGCTCACCAGTGTATTTCAGTCAATCCACCTATTCTGTTCCCTACTCTGGTGAATTCTCTCACCCCCCGCACCTCTGACCTGTACCCAGTTCTTGTATGCAGAAATAAATAAATCTTTTTTAAAAATAAAAATAAAATTAAAAAATAGAAAAAAATTGATTTTCTCAAAATTAAAAACTTTTGGGGTGTTACAGAGCAGGAGGAGCAGGGTAAGAGGGAGCTCTGTGTTCCTGGAGGTCTCTGAGACAGCATCTATGGAAAAAGAAGAGAAAGTGACTAGTCCAAAGAAAGCTGAAAAAAAAACTGAAAAGCAGGGCATCCTCATTCGAGACAAAACCTCAGGTTCAGATTTCTGAAGAAAACCATTGCAGAAAAGGCAGAAATATTTTGCTGCAGGGCCTTACAACATGGCTAAAGCATAATGAAGAACAAGCAACTTCCTGCCGTGCCGCCCCCCCGATAAGACAGGGGTCCCTACCCACGTGAACTGCCACAGAAATCAATCCTTGTTGCTAGCAAGCTGACTGATTGATTAAAAAAGCCGAAATGCACAATCTTTCCATTCCTATTATTTCTCCTTAATATTTGTTTCTATTTTTTCACATTTATCAGTCATATGAGAGTGACATGAAGTGGTGGTGTTTGCTTCCACTGTAAGGGAATGTATACGTGTACGTTTTTGATTAGTGTGACAGTGCTCACAGAGGAACGTGTTGGGGCAACATAAAGCAAGCTACTTGAAAATAATTGTCAGTATTTCCTAACTCCTGCTATAGGATGGGTTCCAACAAGCAGGTTTCACAATTTTAATGTTTTGTCTTTTTTTTAATTCATCTCAACTAAAACTTTGTGTGCTACTCTTACTATAACTTCTATTGTATCGATTTCTTCAGTATTTTTCTTTTGGATTTTGTAAAACTGAAATTTAAGACCACAAGCTGGTTGAGAGCTCACATATTTCTGCTGAGTTTGTACTTCCTGGATCTGCTCCCTCGTTCACCTTTGCCCTTCAGATATAGCTATAATCTTAGCCTAGACAGTAATTTTCACCCTTAAGCTAGCAGGCTTCTGAAACTCGGAATTGAAAAGACTTTGGCTTTTATGCTCAGTTTCAAGAGATGACAAACATACTGTCACCCAGTAATGTTCACGTTAAAACAAATGTTTGTATGACTGTAGCAAATTAGAAAGAGGTAGGGGGCACAGCTGGAGGCCACAAATACTGAGAGCAGCAATAAACTAATTAATAGCCCATAAAAAAAAATATGTCCCTATGAAAAAGATGGTGGGAGGCAGAACCATGCCCAGTACCCAAGAATAGCCACATCCTAGTTCCAGAAACTGTGTATATAATATTTTGTAATGTACCGTACATATTAAAAAGGACCTCGCATATACAGTGAAGTAAAAGATTTTGAGATGAATGACTTGGAAGGGAAAGGATAGAGAATAAAAAGGCCACAGGTGACAGAAGCACAGGTCAGAATGAAGAGTTTATTGGTGGGAGGAGGGGCGATGTAAGCCAAGGAATGAAGCTAGAAAATACCTGCAGGAGGAACACAGTCCTGCCAACCCCTTGAATTTAGCAGTCAAGACCCCATTTGGATCTGATGTTCAGCACTATGAGATTAAAGAAAGGTGTTGTCTTAAACCACTGCTTGTGGCAAATTGTTACAGCAACAGGAAACAAATACCCTCACTGCATAGAAACGTTATCAACATTAAATTCTTCATACAGATGAAGCTGCTAAGAATATCATTTACTCTTTTTTAATTGTGGAACAGTTTATTTTTCTTGGTGTACATTTTTTTTTAAAAGATTTATGGGGGGGGGTGCAATTGTATGGGGAATATAACCAAAATGAAAATGCATACATTGTGCAAAGATGAATAATGATGCAAGAATTATATAAAATAAAATATTAAAAAAAGATTTATTTATGTATACATGAAGTGGGGTACAAGCCA